GATTCCCACGGGGGGCCAGTATAAAAAAAAAAATTTAAAAAAAAAATAAAAAAAATAAAATAAAAAATGTATTCAGTAACTGTAAGTCGCTCTGGATAAGAGCGTCTGCTAAATGACGTAAATGTAAATGTAATGAACTTTGAATTCCAAAATATCTGCATAGCTCCTTAAATACTTCCTCCAGGAGTCACATGACTATAGTTGTTTTTCATGTAAAATGGCCGCCTTGATATCATAACATTCCTAGGTCTTTGTGGTATGTCCCAAATTACACCCTATTACCTATATAGTTCAGTACTTTTGACCAGGGCCCAAGTGCACTATATAGGGAATAGGGTGCCCATTTAGGACTCATCCTTTGTGGTTTTGATCTAGCCTGGTCCCCGCCCTTGTCCACAGTGCCTGGCCAAACCTTACTGGACACAGTCCTGAAGCCAGGGACAGTTATATAGCAACTCCTTACCACTGAACGTCCTTTAAAACAGTGTTGTGGTCCAAAATGTCACCTCAACATATTTGGATACCCAACTCCAGTCCTTAAAAGCAATAAGAGACAGGGGGGTGCAGGCTTTTGTTCCAGCCCTGCTCTAACTAGGTCAGTCAGTGGGTCAGCTTCAATTAGATGTGCAGTGCTTTGTTCCAGCCCTGCTCTAACTAGGTCAGTCAACAGGTCAGCTTCAATCAGATATACAGTGCTTTGTTCCAGCCCTACTCTAACTAGGTCAGTCAACGGGTCAACTTCAGATGTGAGTTAGAGCTGGGCTGGAACAAAGCACTGCACATCTGATTGGAGTTGACTGACCTAACATCTGTTTGTCAGGTTTTACAGTTTCTTGTAGAAATATTTACCCACAGAAATGTCAAGAGCAGTCTGTGAAATGATTGACAGCGGAGCTTCTGGCTGGATTTTGTTCCAGCCCACCTCTAACACACCTGATTCAACTAATCATGGTCCCCACGAAGATCATGATAAGTTGATTATTTGAATCAGGCTTGTTAGTACTGGGCTTGAACAAAAGCCTGCAACCCCTGTAGCTTTCCAGCACCAGGGTTAGTGTGGTCATGGCTAGAAGGGATCCAGTTTTTGTCAAATGAATGTCAAAAGTTATCCTAACCTGCTACGAAACGTCAAATCTGATGTTAATTTCACAAAAGCTGGATCCCTTCTAGTCATGACTGGTTAGTGAGGCCACTGCTGACACAACGTCATGATCATATGATCTTTGTTCCATCACTGCCCTCTAGTGAAATATATGACCATATATGAATGTAGGAGTAGGGTGAAGTGACACCTAGATGCTGATCTGGGGTCAGTTTTGCATTTCTCCCGCTAATGGTTAAGGTCAGGGTTGGGGGAGGGGAAGCTGATCCTGGATCTGTACCTAGGAGAAACATGACTATATGACCGTCTGACTAGGATGATGCAAAGTACTGTAATAATGCAACATCATACAAACACAGACACAAATAAAGTGATACAAATTTTAAAATTAATTTATTATATATATTTGTCATAGAATTCATTACTTTTTGTTCAAGGTTAACATACAGCCATTCATATTCAGAAGAACAAACGTTTTTTTATTTTAATTTTTCAAAAATTAACTTATAAATGTACACTCTTCTTTCTGATAAGACCCTATGGAGTAGAAGAAAAATATCATTTTTTTAAAAGTAAGATATTTTCTTGTCATTTATTTTTTGTTTGTTACAAAATCCCTCCATCCTTCCATCTTTCCCTTCTTTTCTCCCTATTAAGTATAGCTGCTGAGCACAGGGTGGTCTGGGTCGTGTTCATTACGATCCTCAACGGGAAATGTTTTAAAACATTGAGCAACAGAGAATGAAAATAAGAGTTTCTGATTGGACCTGTTTCAGTCAGTTTTCGTACGTTTTGTGCCTAATGAACACAACCCTGAACACAGTTAACAGACACAGTACACACAGGCTGCTTGGACTGATGACGATTGGTTTAGCAAAACACAGAGCCACGGAACGCCACGCACGCACGCACACGCACATGACCAGTGTCACAGAGAGGCTGTTCAGATGACAGGTCCATCCAACCCTCTTCCGTGATTAATAAAACAACAACAAACAAACACAAAATAATAAACAAGTACAAAATAAAAAAATCCCCAAACTGATATAAAAAATTAAATGTCAATAAACTCAGTGCAATGGGATGTAGATGTGGTTACTGTACAACATATCATCCTCTTTGTGTGTGTGTGTGTGTGTGTGGTGTGCGTGGGTGTGTGTGTCTGTGTGTGTGTGGGGGGGGGGATTATCGGACAAATTCCCACCACTTTGGAGTAAACTGGGAATACAGTTTAAATACCTGCACGTAACATCAATAATTTCAACTAACAATCCATTCGAACAATCAGAAGCACCTTGTCCCACCACAGAGTTGTTACAGCCAATCAGTGACCTTATATAAAAAGACAGAAATGGCAGACCAGCAAAGATAAAAGCCTGAAATCTGACAACCCAGCCAGGATGTGTGTGTGGAGATTAGTCAAATCTGGCAATGCACCCCAGTGGGTTAATTGCCTACAGACACTGGAGAGGGGTTGGTTGGCACACACACACACACGCATGCATGCACGCAGGCATGCGCGCGAACACACACACACACACACACACACACACACACACACACACACACACACACACACACACACACACACACACAAACACCAGACACTAGAGTCCTCCTGGGTCCCAGTTGGGATCGGGTGGCAGCAGCATGGCGGTCTGGTGCCAAGGTGGCAGAACAGTGTGTGGCTTCACCCCCTACCTCTTGTCCCCCAGTAGGGTTTGGCCTTGACTCTCTCAAGAACAAGATGGAAGGAACTGGACAGATCAAGTGTGTATGTGTGTGTCTGTGCATGCATGTGTGTATGTGCGTACGCACATACGTGTGTGTGTGTGTGTGTGTGTGTGTGTGTGTGCACATACGCCCGCAAGCGTGTGCATGTCTGTGTGTGTCTGTGTGTCTGTGTGTGTGTTTGTACAAGCAACATCCCTCCCTCGTTCTAAGCCAGTCAGTGGGGATTAGACAAGCAGTTGATGGGACAACAATTGAGCTTCTGTAAAGAAAGTCTCCCCTGTCTCTCTCTCTGTGTGTGTGTGTGTGTGTGTGTGTGTGTGTGTGTGTGTGTGTGTGTCTCAGTAGGCAGACCAGGGCTTCTGTTCACAGAGGGAGAGTTCGCCACCTAGTGGTTCCTGTGTGACATTACGTCACAGCACAGCATGGATGTAAAGCAGGTTACACAGTATTCAATCTCATCATGCTAGTAGACAATGCAGCTTTTAAACTTTTAAAGGCAATGTTACCGTAAAGGCTGCATTCAAGGCTGAAGATATCGGCTCAATCGGAAATTACCTTTAAAATGTTCATGGCACTAGAGCGTGGTTTTGGATTGAATCCCTGCCTTACTCCATCTCCCTGTACACACTTATGTCGGGATTCAATCAAAACGTGCGTTGCCGACAACGTGGTTTCGGACTTAATCCCGGCCACTGTCTGGTTGGCTTTCCATAGGCTATAGGCTAGGTCCAGTGGCCACAAACACACAGAGAGAGAGAGAGAGTCCAGAGTGAGTTAGTGAGTTAGTGGTATAAAATAAAACTCTGTATAGAATGCCATTGCTAACTTTATACCCATGATCAAAACAACAAGCAATGGCTAGCAAAATTAGCCTAGCCATCGCTAACTTCTATACCATTATCAAGGCAACAGTGGATAGCCAAATTAGCCAAGCCATCGCTAACTTCTATAACATTATCGAGGCAACAATGGCAAGCCAAATTAGCCTAGCCATCGCTAACTTCTATACCATTATCAAGGCAACAATGGCTGAGCCAAATTAGCCTATCCATCGCTAACTTCTATACCATCACCAAAACAAACAAACAAAATATTGCTGTAACCCCCATACAAAACAAACCACATCCCCCAGTAACATTAATAAGGTGCAATTCATTGTTTCACAGACACAAACCAAGCACCATCTGATCTGTAATTCAGCATGCAACAACAAAAAAGCTTATTTGTTTTAAAACAGAAAACAAACAGTCTATTTTAATTATTTGACATTTTTGACCATCTTAGGCAAAGAGAAAGGAAGGAAGGAAGGAATGAAGGAAGGCAGGAAGGAAGGGAATAATATAAATACAAGAGATGGAAAAAACAAAGAAAGCAAAAGTGTTGATGCCAGTACGGCTTTGGTACAAGTCAGACAAGAGAGTGGGTTTGGGTTGGTGTGTGTCTGCGTTCGTTCGTGAGCATGTGTGTGTGTGTATTTGTGTTTGTGTGTATTTGTGTATGTGCGTGTGTGTATGTGTGTGTGTGTTGTGTACAGTATGTCTATGTAGATTAGTCTCCTTGGTTCTGGGCCCAGAAAGACCCAAACTGGTTCAGAGTGGTTGAGACTCAGGCAGAGAGTGACAGAGAAATGGCTTCTGTGTACAATGGAGAGCCTTCATGGCCTAACAGTGGATATAGAGGACAGTCAGTGTGTGTGTGTGTGTGTGTGTGTGTGTGTGTGTGTGTGTGTGTGTCTGCAGAGATGATAGAGTACACTAGACAAATAGCTACAGTAGTCAGATAGGCAGTTTAACTGACAAAGACACAGCCACCATAATCGTCCCCAGTCCAGTCCACAACCAGAAACAGAGGCCACAGTGTGTGTGTGTGTGTGTGTGCCTGCGTGTGTGTCCATGCGCGAGTCCTTGTATATGGATGTAGTCCAAACCAGAAAGCATGTCAGACTTGACTACCAACAGACCAACTGAAAAACATCATAAAAAGTTGACCACTCAGTTATAATAGCACAACATGACGTCTGTTGTTAAGGTTACTGAAAATAAAGACAAACAGCATTAAAATAATTGGCAACTGAGTTGTTTTGACCCAAAATGGCGGAAATGAACTGTCCATTTTTAAGGTGTAGGCAGAAGGCTGGGGTAGCGCTAAGAGATTTCTTACACCTTTAAAAATCATTAAACCACAAGCTGCCAAGTCTGAGGTAAAAGAAAGAAAAAAGAACAGAAAAAAAAGAAAGGACCAAAAAAAGACAGGAAGTAAAATAGCAAAGCAGAGACAAAGGAACATAACACCGCCCTCTCAGCCTTCTCTCAACTCAATGAAACAACATGACTGAGTTTCACATGAAAGTAACAAAATAGAATACAAAAATAATGTATTGAGTTCCACACAGTGTGTCAATAGAACAATGTCCATGTGTGGGAGGAGAAAGAGAGGGAGAGAGGAGAGAGCGAAAAAGCAGACGGAGAGAGAGAGAATCAGAGAGAGAGGAGAGAGCGGAGCGAGACGAGAGAGAGAGAGAGAGAGAGAGCGAAGAGAGGAGAGAGATGAAGCAAGAGAGCTATCTACTAGATAGTCTCTCGCTCGATCTCTCTATCTATCTCTCTTCTCTCGTCCTCTCTCTCTCTCTGTGATCCTTACTGACTGGAGACTCGCTCTCTCCTCCTCCTTCTCCTCTCTCTCCATCCCCTCCCCCCTTCTCTCTCCTTCAATCTCTCTCTCCATTCAATCCTCAATCTCTCTCTGTCTCAGTCCAGCAGCTCTGGCACTAAGGACTCTGTGTCTAAGGGACGGTTGGGTGAGTGAGCAGCCAAGCACAGGTGGAATTAAGGTTGCAGGGTTAAACACACACACAATACTCCCGCTCACTACTAAGGGCATGTGATCAACGGCCAGGTGGTGTGTGTGTGTGTGTGTGTCTGTGTCTGTTTTTATGCGTTTGTGTGTGTGTGTTTGTGTGTGTGTGTGACTGAGAGTCCATCTGTCGCTCTGATTCTCCAATGTCGACACTCTTTGATCTGTGGTGACACAGCATATGGCCTCCTGGTTCTACCCTTCTCTCTCTCTCTCTCTCTCTCTCTCTCTCTCTCTCTCTCTCCCTCTCTCTCTCCCTCTATCCTTCCTTGTCTTTCTCTCCCCCTTCAGGACAACATTCTGTCCTGATATAAACTGTCTGTGATATGAATATGAGTGCTAGAGACAGCAACTGTTTCCCAAATGACACCCTATTCCCTTCAAAGTGCACTACTTTTGACCAGGGCCCATGGGGTATATAGGGGGATAGAGTGCTACTTGGAACGTAGACAGACATACGGCTGATATTCCGCACAGCTTTTGGCCCATTACACAAACCCTGTCATCAGACAGCCATGAAATAATATATTTCAGTGAAGGATATTACATCTCCAGTCATCCCAAACCAGATATGATGTCTGAGTCCCGAATGGCTCGCTCTTCTCTATATAGTGCACTATTTTTGACCAGGGCGAAATAGGGCTCTGGTCAAAAGTAGTGCACGACGTAGGGAATAGGGTGCCATTTGAGGTGCACACAATATGCCTGACGCACTAATGGATATATCTGTTGTTTAAACCACTAGTCCATTAAATGGTGGATAATACATAAACAATATTAGGCTTAGGTCAATGTTTGAATAAGATAAGGTAGCTAGGGCAGGTCATGTTTCCATGTCTGCATCCCACCCTATTCCCTATGGGTCCTGGTCAAAAGAAGTGCCCTAAATAGGGAATACGGTGCCATTTGGGCTGAAGGTTATAGCCTAGTAGCGTAATACACATGTACCAGTGATGACGCAGGCTCAGACGTAGGGACCATAATATCATCCTAGAGCCATTTTCCAATGCGTCATATGAAGCACACATACTCATGCACATACAAGCGAACACACTCTTGGAACACATATCTTAGATTTAACTGCATGATTGCATGCCTATCTCTCCTCAGAGCTCAAATGTATCATCTCTTTCTTTCTCTCTTTCTTTCTGTCTCTTCCCCGCTCTCTTCTTTGTTTACATAAGACAACAGAGGAGTAATTGGATGGATTATTGCATTAGCACAAACAGCAACAATGGCTGCCACAACAGAGACCACGCCATCACTATGACAAGAACCAGGGATAGCAGAGAGGGAGGGAGGGAGGGAGGGAGGGAGAGGGGGAGAGAGAGAGAGAGAGAGAGAGAGAGAGAGAGAGAGAGAGTGAGGGTGGGTGGGTTGGAGGGAGGGAGGGAGGGAAAGAGAGAGAGAGAACGAAAGCGAGAGAGAGAGAGAGAGAGGGAAGGAAGGAAGGAAGGAAGGAAGGAAGGAAGGAAGGAAGGAAGGAAGGAAGGAAGGAAGGAAGGAAGGAAGGAAGGAAGGAAGGAAGGAAGGAAGGAAGGAAGGAAGGAGAAGGGAGAGAGAGGGGACATTCCACATGAAGGGAGAGAGAGGGAGGGAAGAAAGAAATAAAGAACCATTGTGACTGACCCCTGAACCCCAGACCTCTCCCCCTCCATTCCTCACACACGCACGCACACACACACACAGACACATTGGGGAAGGGAGCAACTCTTGGGCTGATAGTAGCAGCAGCCAGAAGAGTGTTGTAGATCTAACTGTCTCCATTTAAAAACACACTCTCCTTCCATCCCTCGCTCTTTCCTCAATTTGAATATATCTCATTTATCAACCCGTCTTCTTTTGAAATGACGATATGGTTCCAGCTCCTCACCTCTCTCTCTCAATTCAATTCAATGAGCTTTGTTGGCATGTCAGATTCTTACATTACCATGGTGAGAGTACAGTCAGGAACATATTTAATCAATAACAAACAAGGATATCATAATGATCTCTCCCCCCCTCCTTTCCTACCACTCTCTCTCCCTTTCCTTCATCTGACTCCCACCTGACTAGAGGTGCATCCCAAATGACACTATATTACCTATATAGTGCACTAATCAAACTCTGGCAGACTGCTATCTCAGAAAACCCAGGGATTTTAAATGGATTTGAAGTTTTTGAATTTCTGAGGACAACCTTCACCATGATGATGCGGGGTATAATAACAGTTCCGTGAAGTGACATAGTCCAGACAGACACCTTATCTGGCAATGACTCATACACACACACACACACACACACACACACACACACACACACACACACACACACACACACACACACACACACACACACACACACACACACACACACACTTGAAACCAGATGTGCAGAGCCAGCCCCAGACAGAGCCAGAGCCAGAGCCAGAGCCAGACAGGGAGACTGAGGGCGGAGCTAACCCAAGTGCATCACGACGGGGACTAAACACACAACACACCCACCTGGGCTGGAAAGTTCCTTGGAAGTCCCAGATCACATTGTATTAATCATTATATCTAATGACTCAACTATGAATGGAGGGAATAGAGAATTAATATATATAGAGAGAATCACACTTTCCTTCTGCGCTAGCGGCTAACCACCCCACCACCCACACTACACTACACTACACCAGTTAGATAGAGGTGGTGTTACCATCCCACACTACACTACACCAGGTAGATAGAGGTGGTGTTACCATCCCACACTACACTACACCAGGTAGATAGAGGTGGTGTTACCATCCCACACTACACTACACCAGGTAGATAGAGGTGGTGTTACCATCCCACACTACACTACACCAGGTAGATAGAGGTGGTGTTACCATCCCACACTACACTACACCAGGTAGATAGAGGTGGTGTTACCATCCCACACTACACTACACCAGGTAGATAGAGGTGGTGTTACCATCCCACACTACACTACACCAGGTAGATAGAGGTGGTGTTACCATCCCACACTACACTACACCAGGTAGATAGAGGTGGTGTTACCATCCCACACTACACTACACCAGGTAGATAGAGGTGGTGTTACCATCCCACACTACACCAGGTAGATAGAGGTGGTGTTACCATCCCACACTACACCAGGTAGATAGAGGTGGTGTTACCATCCCACACTACACTACACCAGGTTAGATAGAGGTGGTGTGTTAGTTTGGCCACCTTAAGTCACAGCTGTGCTGTTAGGTCTAGGCTATCTCTTTATTCTGGATTTATTTAAAGTCAAGTTGACTGTGAACACATTCTCGTTTACAGCAACGACCTGGGGAATAGTTACAGGGGAGAGGAGGGGGGACGAATGAGCCAATTGGAAGCTGGGGATGATTAGGTGACCGTGATGGTATGAGGGCCAGATTGGAACAGAGCCCAATGGAAAAGAGCCTGCAGTAAAATGGCCGTTCTCACTCTACTTCCTAAGATGACCTAAGAGAATGTGGGAGTTATGGAAAACCGATAGGATCCAGATTCAGGGTCAAAATCAATGTCGTTCTATTCCTGGTACAGTAGACGTTGTGTTATCTTTGCTAATTTATCTGTTTGAATCTGAGGGTGTAACCAAACTCACAGTATATTTCCTGGAATCTATGTGTTCCAAATTACACCCTATTCCATATATAGTGCACTACTTTTGACCAGGGCCCATAGTGCACTATGTAGGGAATAGGATGCCATTTGGGACGCATCCTATCTTACTATAATCAATCATTCTTTATCTCTGTCTCGGACTAGGATATGACATCGTCAAAATGCCCACCATGTGTTCTGTTTACCGCCATAAGGGATCCATCTGTTGCAGGGGCAGGGCATCACCACGGTAACATCAGAGAGAGAGAGAGAGCTGGGGCTGGGCTCTAGTGAGACGTGCCTAGTCAAGAGTAGGCATGATCAGGTGCCATGATCTATCTATGCAATAGGGACTGTAGGGAGAGATGGAGAGATAGGAGGAAGCAGGGAGAAGGAATGAGATACAGAGACACACAGAAAGAGAAGGGCGAGAGGGAGAGAGGGAGAGAGAGAGAGAAGGGAGATAAATGAGTCAGGGGAATAAACTACATTTTCTTAAGTTTCATTGTCCTGAGGATAAAACACAAGGGAACACACACAGTGTTGCTCTAGATTTCCTTCCCTTTCTCTCTAAGGACTCAGCGACCTAACTTGAACGCAGCCCAACCTCCTCCCTCAGCCCTCATCCCCCCTTTCTCACTTCCCTCTCCTCCCTTTCCTCCACCCCTTCCTCCCTCTCTCTCATTACCATGGCAACGTGGGCGGCACATTTCTGCTCGAGAAGTCAAGTGACCTTTTTTTTTTACCGGACCGAGCAAGAGAGCAAGGAACAGGGGAGAGAGAGAGAGAGAGAGAGAGAGAGAGAGAGAGAGGAGAGAGAGAGAGAGAGAGAGAGAGAGAGAGAGAGAGAGAGAGAGGGAGAGAGGGACAGAGGGGAGGGAGACGGGGAGAGAAGGATGCAGTTGAGAAGGCAAAGGAGAGAAACTGAAAGAGAGAGAGAGTCAACCAGGTTTTTCAAATCTTTTTCTTTATAGGCCACATAGAACAACAATACACCTCCTGCTGTGCTGCACAAAAGGCTATGGAGATGACATCACTTCAGAATTCATTCCGAGCTGTCTGTCTGTCTACAGATGGAGACTGTAACCCAGTTATACACACACACATATTGTGTTCTGACCTTTCAGGATCACACACCCCTGTGCACACGCATGCGCACACACACAGATGAACACATAAACACTCTCACACACACACATCTCACAGAGTGTTAGTGGTTTGCAGCAACTGAAGCAGAAGTCCCGTTCCATGTGTGTAAAGTTAACCAAGAGTTTCTACAACGATTCAGGCTTTTTCTCGTCAGTTCATTTGCAAGCAAGCCAAAATATTAACCATAGGAAAGCAATACACTGTAGACTGCACTAGATCTAACTCACATATGATGAGAGGAGAAAGTGTGTGTGTGTGTGTGTGTGTGTTAGCAGGGAGTCACTAAAGACACAACAGGAAGATATCCAACAGTGAGTGAGAATTCCGCGATAGGATGAGGGAGTGTCTGTGTCGCTATGACGATATGATGAAGTAAACATCAACAGAAACAAAAATGTCATCTTTTGCTTCCTTTTTCCACAGGTTTGTGATTTGCCTGTTTTGTCCCTCTGGCCCCACCGTACCAACCCTGGATATAGGCCTGTCTGTCAGTCAGAACTGGGATAGTAGTAGGTGAGGGTTGGAGGTTGATATAGAGAGCATTTCTAGGAGGGACTATTTTGTCAGTAGTCAGTGGTCGTTTCCCCCCAAAGCTGTTCCACTGTTCCCTTTTACCCCAAAATAAGGACTGTTTGGAGCTTGCGATAGGTATCCTTCCGACTTCAGTGCTTTCCTTCCTTCTGTAACCTTCCGCATCAGTGCTTTCCTACCTTTTGTATCCTTCCCCCATAAAGAGTGCTAATTCCCTCCCCATTGTGAGTCCTAGGGGCCCTCCTTCCTTACCCATTCACTTCCTTCAATTCTCCCCCCCCCCCCCCCCCCCCCCGAATTCGCTACCCCTCAATAATTGTATCATGTTAGACATACGGGTTCTCCAGAAGGTATCGGTACTTCTCATAATTCTCCAACATATACTTTGGGGCGTACATGTGCTCTTTGGGTTCCGAGGGGGGGTACTCCTGCACCGATCCATCGAACCAACCCCCTGTCCGGATCAGGTCCCGAATATAATTCAGATCCCGTTTGTCCTCGTAGTCACCCCAACGCGGAAAGTCCCCGTTCTGGGCCGAGATCAGCTTAAAATGGATGCCCTCAGGGCTAAAGCACCAAGAACAGTGCCACCCAGCGAAGTGGAAGGGGCTTCCAACGGCCCACTGGACCAGGATGTGACCCGTGTCGTTCTCGTACTTCCTGAAGCCGGGCATGGTGTAGTATTCCCGGCGGCGGAGACGTATCCCATCGGCATCGTAGACGTCTCGGAGCATCCCGACCGTGCACCCCGACACGACCTCCAACGACCCCAGCTAGAACAAGAATATTATACTTTATTGAGACAGAATTTAGAAACGGAATATGTGTTTTGCTGCACACAACCCCTCACATTAACACACACATCAACCCAACGCCTCACATTAACACACACATCCACCCAACCCCTCACATTAACACACACATCAACCCAACGCCTCACATTGGAACACACATCCACCCAACCCCGAACAGGAACACAACACAGCAACCCACACGCTCCACAACACACACAACCACCCCTCACATTAACACACAACCCACCCAAACCCCCCACAGGAACACACACACCAACCACAACACCACAAAACACACACACAACCAACCCACACAAACACACACAGCCACCAACCTCACCACAAGCACACAACACACACAGCCAACCACAACACACACGCCACAGGAACAACACACAGCCCCCAACCCGCACAGGAACACACACAGCACCCAACAGGAACAACACACAACACAACAACCCACGCACAGGAACACACCACACAGCAAACACAACCCAACGCACAGGAAACACACACAGCAAACCCGACAAAAAACAGAAACAAAACACAAAGCCACCCAACCCCGCACAGGAACACACACAGCAACCCCGCACAGGAACAAAAACAAAACAGCCACCACAAACAACACGACAACAGGAACAGACAACACAGCCACCCAACCCCGCACAGGAACACACACAGCAACCCCGCACAGGAAACACACACAGCCACCACAACCCGCACAGGAACACAACACAGCACCACCCGCACAGGAACAAACACAGCCACCCAACCCCGCACAGGAACAAACACAGCCACCCAACCCCGCAACAGGAACACAACAAGCAAAACCCGCACAGGAACACAACAAGCCACCAAACCCGCACAGGAACAAAACACAGCACCCAACCCCGCACAGGAGAACAAAAACACCAGCCACCCAACCCGCACAGGAACACACACAGCCACCCAACCCCGCACAGAACACACACACCAACCCAAACCCGCACGAACCACAGCAACACCACAACCCCGCACAGGAACACACACAGCACCCAACCCGCACAGGAACACACAAGCCACCAAACCCCGCACAGGAACACACACAGCACCCAACCCGCAAGGAACACACACAGCACCCAACCCGCACAGGAACACACACAGCCACCAACCCCGCACAGAACACACACAGCACCAACCCCAGAACACACACACACCAACCCGCACAGGAACACACACACAACCCAACCCGCACAGAACACACACAGCCACCCCAACAGAACACACACAGCCACCCAACCCCGCAAGGAACACACACACCACCCAACCCCACAGAACACACACACCACCCAACCCGCACATGAACACAACAACCACCCAACCCGCACAGAACAACACACCACCAACCCCGACATGAACACACACATCCACCCAACCCCCACAGTAACACACACATCCACCCAACCCCTCACATTAACAAACACATCCACCCAACCCTCACATTAACAAACACATCCACCAACCCCTCACATTAACAAACACATCCACCCCTCACATTAACACACACATCCACCCAACCCCTCACATTAACCCATACATCCTCCCAACCCCTCACATTAACACACACATACACCCAACCCCTCACATTAACCCATACATACTCCCAACCCCTCACATTAACACACACATACACCCAACCCCTCCGATACACACACACATACACCCAACCCCTCCGATACACACACACTCACATTCGTATTCAGACCCCTTCACTTTTTCCACATTTTGTTATATTACAGCCTTATTCTGAAATGGATTAAATAAAAATTGTTCCTCATCAATGTACACACAATACCCCATAATGGCAAAGCAAAAACAGGTTTTAGAAATGTTTGCAAAAAATTAAGAATTACAAATAAATACCTTATTTACATAAATATTCAGACCCTTTGCTATGAGACTCGAAATTGAGCTCATGTGCATCCTGTTTCCATTGATCATCATTGAGAGGTTTCTACAACTTGATTGGAGTCCACCTGTGGTAAATTCAATTGATTGGACATGATTTGGAAAGGCACACACCTGTCTATATAAGGTCCCACAGTTGACAGCAAAAACCAAGCCATGAGGTCGAAGGAAATGTCCGTAGAGCTCCGAGACAGGATGGTGTCGATGCACAGATCTGGGGCAGGGTACCAAAAACATTCTGCAGCATTGAAGGTCCCCAAGAACACAGTGGCCTCCATCATTCTTAAATGGAAGAAGTTTGGAACCACCAACTCTTCCTAGAGCTGGCCACCCGGCCAAATTGAGCAATCGAGGGAGAAGGGCCTTGGTCAGGGAGGTGATCAAGAACCCTATGGTCACTCAGACAGAGCTCCAGAGTTCCTATGTGGAGATGGGAGAACCTTCCAGAAGGACAACCATCTCTGCAGCACTCCACCAATCAGGTCTTTATGGTAGAGTGGCCAGTTAGAAGCCCCTCCTCAGTAAAAGGCACATGACAGCCTGCTTGGAGTTTGCCAAAAGGCACCTAAAGGACTCTCAGACCATGAGAAACAAGATTCTCTGGTCTGATGAGACCAAGATTGAACTCTTTGGCCTGAATGCCAAGCGTCACGTCTGGAGGAAACCTGGCACCATCCCTATGGTGAAGCATGTTGGTGGCAGCATCATGCTATGGGGATGTTTTTCAGCGGCAGGGACTGGGAGGCTAGTCAGGCGACGCTCCCCATCCAACCTGACAGAGCTTGAGAGGATCTGCAGAGAATAATGGGAAAAACTCCCCAAATACAGGTGTGCCAAGCTTGTAGCATCATACCCAAGATGACTTGAGGCTGTAATCGCTGCCAAAGGTGCTTCAACAAAGTACTGAGTAAAGGGTCTGAATACTTATGTAAATGTAATATTTCTGTTCTTTTATTTTTTATAGATTTGCTAAAATTTCTAAAAACCTGTTTTTGCTTTGTCATTATGGGGTATTGTGTGTAGATTGATGAGGAAAAAAACAATTTAATCAATTTTAGAATAAGGCTGTAACGTAATAAAATGTGGAAAAAGTCAAGGGGTCTGAATAATTTCCGAATGCACTGTACACACAACCTCTCCGAAACATACATACACACAACCCCTCCGATACATACACACAACCCCTCCGATACATACACATACATACACACACATACACACAACCTCTCCGATACATACACACACATACCCACAACCTCTCCGATACATACACACACATACACACAACCTCTCCGATACATACACACACATACACACAACCCCTCCGATACATACACATACATACACACACATACCCACAACCTCTCCGATACATACACACACATACACACAACCTCTCCGATACATACACACACATACACACACCGGTGAGCAGTTTCAGGGGGTTAAGTGCTTAGCTTAAGGGCACAACAACAAGAGAGCTTATCTTTCTAGGATCTGTCACTAACAACCCTCTAGTAGTCGGCTCAAATTCCCTTAGAGAAGACAAGATAAGCCTCCCGAGTGGTGCAGTGGTCTAAGGCACTGCATCACAGTGCCAGTGTGCCACTAGAGATTCTGGTTCGAGTCCAGGCTCTGTCGCAGCCAGCCGCGACCGGGAGACCCATGGGGCGGCACACAATTGGCCCAGCGTCGTCCAGGGTAGGGGAGGGTTTGGCCGGCAGGGATGTCCTTGTCCCATCGCGCTATAGCGACTCCTGTGGCGGGCCGGGCGCAGTGCACGCTGACTCGGTCGCCAGTTGTACAGTGTTTCCTCCGACACATTCGTGCGGCTGGCTTCTGGGTTAAGCGGGCATTGTGTCAAGAAGCAGTGCGGTATGGTTGGGTTGTGTTTCGGAGGACGCACGACTCTCAACCTTTGCCTCTCCTGTGTCTGTAGGGGAGTTGCAGCGATGGGACAAGACTGTAACTACCAATTGGATGCCACAAAAAAGGATTTAAAAAAGAGAACACAAGATAAGAAAAACCTGATTACACAGGATATATTTTTTTCGTGCCTGGTCTGGGATTCGAACCGGCAACCTTCTGTTAACAAGCCAAGCACCTGTAACCTCTAACCCTATAGGCTACCTGCTTCCAGAAGAACCCGTAGAGGGACTTCCTCATGTGGATGGCGAACGGTTCCGTCCACCCGTCGAACAGCTTGAGGAAAAGCAGTCCCTCGCGTGCGGGGATCTCATCGGCATCGTTGATGACGAAGACGTCGTCGGGGCGTGATCCGGTCACCCTGGCCATGCCGTCGCGGGTCAGGTAGGTGCGGAGGTAGTCGTCAGCGATCCAGCCATCCTGGCGCCCGCCCTCTGGAAAGTGGTCTAGGAAAACGTAGATGATTTTGTGGCGCACGTAGTCGTAGGTGCCATTCAGGAGGAGACGCAGGAACCTGGAGGGAGGGAGAGAGGGACAGATACAGACAGTGTGTCAACAGATATGCTTAAATGAGTCTTTCAGGAGAGAGACAGACACACAAACAGACAGAAAGCCAGCCAGCCAGCCAGATGGACAAACAGACAGCCAGCCAGATGGACAGACAGACAGACAGCCGGCCAGATGGACAGCCAGCCAGCCAGCCAGATGGACAGACAGACAGCCAGATGGACAAACAGACAGCCAGCCATCTCATCATCCTGCCCACTCGCCGTAGTGGTCGTCTCTCTCCATAGGCGGTGAAGTTGGAAAGGCAAACATACACAAAGCCAGCAAGACAGACAGACAGACGTATATATAGCTATGTCCAATCACCGTAGTGGTCGTCTCTCTCCATAGGCGGTGAAGTTAGACTCACACACCAGGAACAGATCCACAGCCTGGGCCAACTCATGGAACCTCACGTGAAGAAGATCAAACTCATGGTTCACGTTGATGGCATTGATCACCCTCCTGGGTCTCTCTCTGGGCGTCAGTCTCTCCTTAGTGGGCAGGTTAGAGTGGTAGACCATGGTAGGTACCCCACAGTAGGGTCCGTGCCACCCTGGCCGACACACACATTTTACCAGACGTTTGCCTCCTCGTCCTCTTGATTTGGCCTTGGGAGGCGTGGAGGTGCCGGAGGATGACGGATGGAGTGGTTGTTGGTTGGATTGGTTCAGGACCGCCAGGGGCTTACGTTGCCCAGGGGAGCCTGCTCGAGATCCTATCCCAGTACCAGTCACCACAGGCCCCCCTGGTCGAGCCGCGTCATCCCTGGGGGTGGCGACCTCTGTCCCCTGGCGGAAGCAGAGGGCTCCGGCTTTCGTACGGACAAAGTAGGAGGTGGGGTCGTCCTGGAGCTGGTGCGTGCGGGTGTGGATGTCGCCCAGGGTTTCTAAGGGGTCCGGGGATGGAGCCTTGGGGGTCGCCACCTGGTCTTTGACCCTAGCCGAGGCCTTGTCCTCTGGGGCGTCAGGTCTGACAGGGTGGGCTGGGTGGCTGGGGTACCAGGGCTTGAAGTGGAGGTCCTCACCTTCACGCTCCTGAGGAAGACAAGACAAAGAGGGGACTGTTTAGCACTTTACTTGTCCTCACAGATCAATCTAGAGAAACTTTATTAGGGCTCTTTTCATTCTGTATCGCTGAAGGGTTATGATATTCCCGATTGAGCCAACATATGCAGCATTTACCGTGAACGCAGTCTCCGCTAATGCGGGAACATTGCCTTTAAATTTCAATCACGCTGTAACGCTGAACTTCTGCGATACGGATTGAATAGAGCCCTTAGTGTTAACTGCTACTTTGTTGACATGCAATGACTCAGATTCCATTAAGCTTCACTCCTGACATGGGGACAAAAAGCGTCTGTTTTATTTCAAAGGAAGAGCCTTGATGTTTGGATTGTAGGTAGACTACTGATGATAATGGTGTATTGACTGGAGGTAGACTACTGATGATAATGGTGTATTGACTGGAGGTAGACTACTGATGATAATGATGTATTGACTGGAGGTAGACTACTGATGATAATGATGTATTGACTGGAGGTAGACTACTGATGATAATTATGTATTGACTGGAGGTAGACTACTGATGATAATGGTGTATTGACTGGAGGTAGACTACTGATGATAATGGTGTATTGACTGGAGGTAGACTACTGATGATAATGGTGTATTGACTGGAGGTAGACTACTGATAATAATGGTGTATTGACTGGAGGTAGACTACTGATGATAATGGTGTATTGACTGGAGGTAGACTACTGATGATAATGGTGTATTGACTGGAGGTAGACTACTGATGATAGCGGCCTTGAGAACCGTTTATAAGACACTCTTTCTTATCACAGGTTCCAAAGCACTTTTATGGCCAGGGCCTGTATTCATAAAGTGTGTCAGAGTAAGAGTACTGATCTAGGATCAGTTTAACCTTTCATATCATAATGAATACGATTATATGGACAGGTGGGGACCTGATCCAATATCAGCACTACTGCTCTGAGACGCTTTGTGGATACAGGCCCAGGCCTGATCATTGCCTTGAGGAGGGTTTCTAATACACAGCTAACATTTAGCCATCACCCTCGTCTAAGAACCTCAAACACATCCCAGCAGTGAGTAGTCAATACATCTGGCAGGAGATATCCCAGGCTCCCTAGCACTTCAATGACCAGGTATGAACATTGACTTGAGAACAGTTTCTAAGACTGCTAGATCTACAGTATGCAGCTCATACTCACGGCAGCGTAGTCAACACAGTGTAGAGATTAGTCAAACCTGCAAAGTCACAGACAAGACATGTTAAACAACAGACCAGTCAACCAAACTGTCTCACCTCGTTGGTATCCGTGTCCCTGTGTCTGGGTTCCTCTGGTAGACCCCATGGTTGAGGCGCAGCAGGTTCCTCTCTCAGCCTCATCTCCAGTCCCCCTCTTCCTACTATCCCTACCCCCCCTTCTCTACCTCCTCCACCCCCTCCCCCAGGGCTTATAGGCCCTACTATCCGTGGATTGGTGTCCGAGGGCCTGGAACAAACAGAAATGCCATGTTGGTCAGAAAGGTAATGTTGTCATCAATTAATCAAAAGTATTTACAAAGCCCTATGACATCAGCAGTTTCCATGTCTGTCGTACAAAAACATCAACATCAACACAAACACAAACACACACACTGACCCCCCCCCCCCCCCCCCACCTCATCCCTCCAACACACACCTGAGGGCGGGCGGAGGTCCTTCCTCCTGCGAGGCAGCGAAGTCAGACGACGAGGCAACCAACGTTAACGGTGTGGCCCCCCCCTCCCTCCAGAAGAAGCCTGTCACCATGATGAAGGACTTGATGTTGGGGTACGGGGCCGACAGCTCCTTGAGCAGGGAGACGTAATGCAGGGCCTGGAACAAATAGAATACAATGACTTTATCAACAACAACTACATTATTACCTCATTTTCCCCCTAGGAACTTGCATTTTGGCATTGTGAATTCATTAATTAATTTTATTTGACAAATGTAAAAAAAAAAAAAAAGATAATTGCCTCAACTATTTATACAACTATACACACATTAAAGTGATTGAGGAAACACAACGTCAGGCAACTTATTTCCATTGTTGTCCTTGTTATTACATGAGCAACAATAGACAGCTTGGGAAAGACTGTCGGTACATTGGCACTTCACATGCAATTTCATTTAAAATACATACAATATATACAATATAAAGATCTTAATTTGACCCGGATTGTCACAGCAAAAATAATTCTGAAGCAACAGAATTTAAAAGTTTAGTCCATAATGTCGATCAGTGGTTGGCTAGTCAAAATGAGGCAACATAAAAAGTGGAATAGTGTTAATATAACCGTGTGTTAGAGCAGGTATCCAGTGCTCATCTGCATTTCCTGCGGGACAGGAAAATTCTCAGCAGCAAAAGAGTGATCAAATTAAGATCCTACATCTGTAGGCTATACTGTACACATAACAATATATATATATTACCTTGTAATAGTGGAGGAAGGAGATGACACACAGGCCCACTGTGCACAGCAAGAACACTCTGTGACGTCGCATTTTCATCCTATAGGAACAGAGGGAGAGAGAGAATTGACCAATGGGAGATGACACACAGGCCATTAACATATCAACATGAACGTGAGTGGGGAGGAGGGAGAGAGAATGTGGGGCGGTAGAGGGAGAGAAGAGGGTGAGTGGGGAGGAGGGAGAGAGAATGTGGGGAGGTAGAGGGAGAGAAGAGGGTGAGTGGGGAGGAGGGAGAGAGAATGTGGGGCGGTAGAGAGAGAGAAAGAGGGTGAGTGGGGAGGAGGGAGAGAGAATGTGGGGCGGTAGAGGGAGAGAAGAGAGTGAGTGGGGAGGAGGGAGAGAGAATGTGGGGAGGTAGAGAGAGAGAAGGGAGTGAGTGGGGAGGAGGGAGAGATAATGTGGGGAGGTGGGAGAGAAGAGATGTGGTAGAGGGGAGAGGTTTGGAGAAGAGAGAAGAGTGTGAGTGGGGAGGGAGGAGATGAGGTGGGGAGGGGTGGGGAGATTGAGAGGAGAGAGGGTGAGAGGAGGAGAGAGAATTTGTGGGGGTTAGAGGAGAGAAGAGGGGGAGGGGTAGATGGGGGAGGAGGGGGTAGGGGGGAGGGAGAGAGATGGTGGGGGGGGTTTAAGAGGAGAAAGAGGTGAGTGGGGAGGAGGAGAGAGAATGTGGGGGGGGTTTATGGGTTAGTTAGGGGGTTTTAGTGAGGGATGAGGGGTGGGGAGGAGGAGGAGAGAAATGTGGGGGGTAGAGGAGGAAAAAGGGTTGAGTGGGAGGGGAGGGAGAGAAAATGTGGGGAGGTAGAGAGAGAGAAAGGGAGTTGAGTGGGAGGAGGAGAGAAATATGGGGGACGGGGAGAGAGAGAGAAGGGCCCTGAGTGGGGAGGAGGGAGAAAATGGGGAGGTCCAGGGGGGAGGGGGATGGGAAGGGAAGATGGGGGGGGAGGGGAGAGAAGGGGGGTGGGGGTGAGGGAGAGAAAGGGAGTGGAGGGGGGGAGTGGAGAGGGAGAGAGGAGGGGAAGAAGAGGGGAAGTGGGGGAGGAGAGAAAAGTGGGTGGTAGAGGGAGAGAAAGAGAGTGAGTGGGGGGAGGGAGAGATAATGTGGGGGGTAGGGGGGAGGAAGAGGGGAGTGGGGGAGGGGAGATGGGGAGGGTGGGAGTTGAATTTGTTGGTGTTAGAGGGGAAAAAGGGTGAGTGGGGAGGAGGAGAGAGAATTGTGGGGCGGTTGGTTTTTAGTGGGAGAGGGGTGAGGGAGGGAAAAGAAGAGGGAAGTGGGGGGAGGGGGAAGAGAGGAATGTGGGGGGGTTATGTAAGTAGAGAGGAGTGATTTTTGGGGTTTGGGGAAAATGAGAGAGAGGAATTAGGAGAGAGAGAAGAGGGGATGGGGGAGGAGGGATAGGATGTGGGGTGGTAGAGGAGAGAGGAAAGAGAGTGAGTGGGGGGAGGAGAGAAAAATGTGGGAGGGTTTAGAGAAGGAAGGGAGTGATGGGGAGGAGGGAGAGATAAGTGGGGATTGGGAGCGAGAAGAGAGAGTGAGTGGGGAGGAGGGAGAAAGTGGGGAGGTGTTTAAAGAGGAGAAGAGAGTGGTGGGAAAGGAGGGAGAATAATGGGGGAGTGGGTGAAGAGGAAGAGGGGAAAGGGGAGGGGAGGAGAGGAATGGGGGAATCGGGGGGTAGAGGGAGAAGAGAGTGGTGGGGAGGGGAGGAGAGAATGTGGGAGGGAGAAGAGGGTGGGTGGGGAGGAGGAGAGATAATGTGGGGAGGTTAGAGGAGAGAAGAGGGTGATGGGGAGGGGGAGAGTTTAATGTGGGGCGGTTGGTTACTTTGAAGAGGAAGAGAAGGAGTGAGTGGGGAGGAGGGAGAGAGAAGTGGAGGGTAGGGAGGGAGAGAAGGAGAAGTGAGTGGGAGAGGGGGGGAGAGAATGGGGGAGGAGAGAAGAGGGTGAGTGGGGGGAGGGAGAGATAAGTGGGGAGGGGGTAGAGGGAGAGAAGAGGGTGAGTGGGGAGGAGGGGAGAAGAGGTGAGTGGGGGGAGGGAAGGGGGGGGGATAATGTGGGGAGGTAGAGAGAGAGAAGAGAGTGAGTGGGGAGGAGGGAGAGAGAATGTGGGGAGGTAGAGGGAGAGAAAAGAGTGAGTGGGGAGGAGGGAGAGAGAATGTGGGGAGGGAGAGAAGAGGGTGAGTGGGGAGGAGGGAGAGATAATGTGGGGAGGTAGAGGGAGAGAAGAGGGTGAGTGGGGAGGAGGGAGAGAAGAGAGTGAGTGGGGAGGAGGGAGAGAGAGCGATAACAACCCATTTCTTTCTCCTTCCTTTCATTATTCATTCATCCTTCTTTCCCCTGGAGGATTTCTACAGTAAACCTCACATGAGAGAGAATCACATGTGATTGTGACAATAATCTTGATTTCTCTTCTTTTTTTTTTTCATAATCTTCCTGAGTCTAAAGCAATGGCATCATCAACCAATCAGCGAACTGTACATTTAATCTAATCCAATTTCTTCCTTGATTGGTTTATACAAAATATGTGGCCAAAACCTTGATCAACTCATAAAAATTCCCCCAAAAAACGTAAATAAAAAAACATCCCAAAATACATATTTTCTAACAACTTCCAACAGTGCATTGACATTCATATCCTCCGAAAATAAGATTTTCTCTTAATACAGTTCAGTTCATATTCAGGGCAGTCAGTGCTGACGGTGCAACATCTATTCTTACATTTAATCCATCTTAATATTTTTTTATTAAATCTCTCGCAGCCCAACTTAAGCACAAACAATGAAAGAACAGGGAAGAAAAGAGAGAGGTAGAATGGGAGAGATAAAGAAAGAGAGATAGATTGAAAGAGAGAGAGTGAGAGAGAGAGTGAGAAGGAGAGCGAGAGAGAGCGAGAGAGAGAGAGAGAGAGAGCGAGAGAGCGAGAGAGGAGAGAGAGAGAGAGAGAGCAAGAGAGGAGAGAGAGAGAGAGCAAGAGAGAGGCAATCTGGCAGTTCTAACACACAATACCGTGTATGAATCTAAAGTAGTCTAGAAGCCTTTACAGGGCTACCTCAGGGATTCCACTGCTATATCAAACTATGAACAAAACAGAGGAGAGAGAGGGAGAGAGGGAGGGAGGGAGGGAGGGAGGGAGGGAGGGAGGCGAGATGAGAAGGAGAAAGTATAGGGGGAAATCAGGCGGAGGAAAAGGAGAATGAGAGAGGGGGAGGGATGGAGAGATGTGGTCCAGTGGAGGGAGGAAAACAATGAACAAGGGATCAGCCAGAGGGAGGGAAGTAAATAATGCCAAAAAAAGGAAAGATTCAGTAAACCTCTCTGAGAAATGTCAGTGTTTTGCATTCCTGCTAAGACCAGGGAGATAAATGCTGCTGACCCTTTATACGCTGACCTAAGGACAGTTTAGTTTTCTCCTCCCTAAGGGTTGAAGATAGGATATGGGGGAGGTAAAGCTGATCCTAAATCTGTGCCTATGGGCCAGAAATCTATACAGGCCATCTCTGAGGTCACACACACACCTGCACGCAAGCACGCAAGCACACACACACATATACACACACACTTGCCCACACTCACACACACACACACACACCAACACACCCACACACACCCACGGTTCCATTCCACAAGGCTAATGCTACACTTGGCAGGACTACAAGCAACAACTCAGAGAGCGAGGGAGGGAGGGAGGGAGGGGGAGGAGGGGGGGGATTGGTGCGGTGCAAGGGAGCGAGGTAGGGAGAGAGAGAAGATGCGAGAGAGGGTGGTATTGAATCAGTGTGGTGCTAGGGAGCGAGGTAGGGAGAGAGAGAGGATGCGAGAGAGGGTGGTATTGAATCAGTGTGGTGCAAGGGAGCGAGGTAGGGAAGGAGGGAGAGAGGGAGGTAGGGAGAAGGGAGGGATGGAGGGAGGTGTAGTATTGAATGGTTGCAGTGCTAAAGAGAGTGGAAGGAGGGAGGGAGAGAGGAGAGGGAGGGAGGAGAGGAGAGGTGGTATTGAATCTGTGTGGCGCAAGGTAGGGAGGGAGTGAGGGAGGGAGGAGAGGAGGGGTGAATCGGTGGGTTGCTAGAGAGAATGGAAGCAGGGAGCGAGCGAGGGAGGAGTGCAGTGCCAGGTTTCCCCCTCCAGACATTTCCTCTCTGTCTCCCTTCTATCTCTCATCTCCAATTGTCCTTTGTTTTCTCTCCTTCTCTCTTTCTCCTCTCTTCTCCTTCTCCCTCTCCCACCATTTCCGTTACATTCCATCTTTCCTGTCCACACACAGTATAGTCAAGATGGCATGAAAGAAAGAGTGAAAAGTGAGGGATACTCATAAGAGAGGGAGGAATAATGATAAGAGAAGCTAGGATGTATGACTGTATTTTTCTCTCTCATTCCTCTTTCTTCTACTGTATAATAAAGGTGTTAGCTCACTGATGACAACCTCTCTCTCTCTCTCTCTCTCTCTCTCTGTCCACACACAGTGTAGGCTAGAAGGCAGCATGAAAGACAGCTCTAAAAGAGAGAGAAAGAACGGATGTCCCTCATTCCTTCTTCTATAATAAAGGTGCTAGGTCAACGATAATAGACCCATGATGAAAACCTTGTCTTGCTCTGAACAGTGCACACAAACCCACTCTGTCAATGCTCAGCGTTTTACAACAACACAAAAGGCTGAATGTGGTTGAGAATAATGTTCAGGTGGGCCTGTAACACAAAGGGCCATGGCTATGGTGCCTGATATGCTCTTCCATCCTTACTGTAGAGGGGAATCCCAACAACCATTTAGAAATGTTGCCGTCTCAAGTAGAGAACAGATTGTCTTTTCTAAACATGAACCAACAGTACAGTATAGACCAGGGGTACTCAACTCTTACCCTATGAGGTCCAGAGCCTGACGTTTTCTGTTCTACCTGATAATTCATTGCACACACCTGGTGTACCAGGTCTAAATCAGTCCCTGATTAGAGGGGAACAATGAAACAATGCAGTGGAACTGGCTTCAAGGTCCAGAGTTGAGTTTGAGTGGTATAGACTATGGTGCCAGCCAGCCAGGTGCACATTTCTACAGTAAAGAGGAAATGTTGACAACAGATCAGGAACAGATTGGCTTCTCTGAACGTGAACCAATAACTGCAATATCAATGTACTATGGTGCCAGGTACCAATGATGCACATCTTTAATAGTCAAGATAGGAAACGTTGGAAACTGACAGATATAGAACCAATAGACAACAGAAGGCTTTTCAACTGACAGATACAGTGGGGGAAAAAAGTATTTAGTCAGCCACCAATTGTGCAAGTTCTCCCACTTAAAAAAATGAGAGAGGCCTGTAATTTTCATAATAGGTACACGTCAACTATGACAGACAAAATGAGAAGAAAAAAAATTCAGAAAATCACATTGTAGGATTTTTAATGAATTTATTTGCAAATTATGGTGGAAAATAAGTATTTGGTCACCTACAAACAAGCAAGATTTCTGGCTCTCACAGACCTGTAACTTCTTCTTTAAGAGGCTCCTCTGTCCTCTACTCGTTACCTGTATTAATGGCACCTGTTTTAACTTGTTATCAGTATAAAAGACACCTGTCCACAACCTCAAACAGTCACACTCCAAACTCCACTATGGCCAAGACCAAAGAGCTGTCAAAGGAATTTTTTTCCTCAATTTGTCTGTCATAGTTGACGTGTACCTATGATGAAAATTACAGGCCTCTCATCTTTTTAAGTGGGAGAACTTGCACAATTGGTGGCTGACTAAATACTTTTTTTCCCCACTGTATAGAACCAATACACAACAGAAGGCTTTTCAACTGACAGATATAGAACCAATAGACAACAGAAGGCTTTTCAACTGACAGATATAGAACCAATAGACAACAGAAGGCTTTTCAACTGACAGATATAGAACCAATAGGCAACAGAAGGCTTTTCAACTGACAGATATAGAACCAATAGGCAACAGAAGGCTTTTCTGAACATGCACCACTTTATACTGTATATTGTATCTACAGCCTGGTGCCAGGTCCCAAAGGTTCTCATCAGAGGGCAGGAAATGTTGCAGTTAAAGAGGAAGTGTTGCAGTTAAAGAGGAAGTGTTGCAGTTAAAGAGGAAGTGTTGCAGTTAGAGAGGAAATGTTGCAGTTAGAGAGGAAATGTTGCAGTTAGAGAGGAAATGTTACAGTTAAAGAGGAAGTGTTGCAGTTGGAAAGGAAATGTTGCAGTTAGAGAGGAAATGTTGCAGTTAAAGAGGAAGTGTTGCAGTTAGAAAGGAAATGTTGCAGTTAGAGAGGAAGTGTTGCAGTTAGATAGAAAATGTTGCAGACTCATAGAGAACCGATGGAGAACAGATTGCCTTCTCTGAACGTGACCCAATAACTCAGTACTATATACAGTACAGTAAAACTACGGTGCCAGGTAGCAAAGATGGAAGCTGCGCGTCCCTAACTAGAGGGTAAATGTTACAAACTGACATACAGTAGAGAACAGATAGGAAACAGATTGTGTTCTCTGAACGTGACCCAATAACTCAGTATATCTATGATTGTGGTGCCAGCTACCAAAGGTGTACAGATCACACTCCCTACAGAGAAGAGGAAATGTTGCAGACACATACACACACACACACACACAACACACACACACACACACAGCACTCGTTGAGAACAGATAGAGGACTGATAAACAGACAGAGAACAGACTGCCTCTTCTGAATGTGAATCAAATAACCAATGACCCGCTGGTATCCCAGTGGCCATCACCATGGCGACAAGGCCAGCCCGCCAATCAAACTGGGCAGAGGTTCAACACACACAGTAGTAGACAGTGTCATTATTTGTCGAATAGCGGATATCAAATGAGGAAGAGAGGAATGATGTTGTTCTTTCCAGCAGTTGGTTTGTTTATCTAAAAACGCCTTCTTCATAGATTACAGTGAACACACACACACACACACACACACACACACACACACACACACAGCATCTCTAGGGTGGGAAAACAGCCCCATTGGAATGCTGCCTTGAGATATTTGAAATGCTCTAAGGGCCGCACATGAAGGAAACCCAAACATTTGGTTTGGAATCTCTTGGAGGCCTCCGGACTGGTAAACAACCAGTGTGTGTCAGTGTGTGTGTGAGTGAGTGAGTGTGTAAGGGGCACTGCCACAGTCTGCTTCGTTGTGGCACTCTGATCACTCTCTCGGATTAGCTGGCAACATACTCACACGCACACACTTGGTGACACAGACACCAGCCACCATTATTGCTGAGGAGGGCAGTGCAGAAATCAACAGAAAAGCTCATTGTTGGTTGTCATGACAATGGGGGGGGGGGGGGGGGGGGGGGGGCAATAGAACACAGACTGGGAGGCAAATTGAGTTTGAGAATATTATACATAGTCGCCACGCCAATTTAGCGCTGTCCTGGGAGACCTCACACACACACACATACACACCCACACACATGCACAAACATGCATGCAAACGCACACACACACACACAGAATGTGGGCCTGTATACAGACGAGACATTCTGTCGACTTGGTCCTAACCAGAACCCCAAGGGGACAATGGCTGCTTACTAAGCAATACACACAAAGCCTGAACTGTTCTGACTCCTGTCCTAAGTGTGTGTGTGTTCCTCTCTTCTCCAATATCAACGACCATGCAGATGTCGCCATTCCCATTGTATCGAATAGTGGTCAATGACCCAAAGGGCCAACTAGGCGGCCATTTTGTGCCGACACAGCATCAGCAATAGATATGGCTCCTCCTGGCGTCCAATCAGATATGAGAAGTCCATTGTCTTAATTGGTTGGGCTATCAAATCAAAATAATCTAAAAGGGTGATAGGTTACATCCCATGACTATAAACACACCACACCACACCACACCACACACACACACACACACACAGACACACAGACACACCACACACACACCACACACACACACACACACACACTTATGCTGCTTTCACATAGAATTTACGGTATTTTGGAAACAGGATGGACCTGAGCTCAATTTCGAGTCTCATAGCAAAGGGTCTGAATACTTATGTAAATAAGGTATTTCTGTTTTGTTTTATTATACATTTGCAAACATTTCTAAAAACCTGTTTTCGCTTTGTCATTATGGGGTATTTAATTGAATTTATCAATTTTAGAATAAGGCTGTAACGTAACAAAATGTGGAAAAAGGGAAGGGGTCTGAATACTTTCCAAATGCACTGTATATGCCAACAGTGTGTAACAATGCCTAATTTATCATAACAGATAACGGATCCTAATTGCTAAATTGCCTCATATTTTTATTCAGTCAATAAAAAAACAAGTGCCATTTAAGATTCATTTATTGAAACTGTAATATCAACTGGTTATATTATATCGTGGAACACAATCTTCAAAAAGGTAGTAGCCTCAGCAGTGTGGTGCTTGCTTGTAGGAGCCTGGCTGTGTAATAAATAAAATAAATAAAAATAAATTGGTGTAATGGCATAGCCTTGTTTTGTTATTTTAGCAGACAAGACACTCTTATTTCCCGAGCCCTTATCACAGTCAAGACACCTAGTTTATAGTAAAACAACATGTAATACAACAGAATAGTGCGAAGTGATTCGCATCTCACATCTGGAACAGTTATTCTCAGAGTGATCATTTGAAACAGGGCTCAATTTGGCAAGTTGAAAGAGAAATTTTTCAGAGTTACAAATCAAAATCTGTGTTCTTTTCGATATACAGACGTTGGATCTAGTTTAATATGCCTGTTCCTTCGAATTTTCTAAATGGATTAACAATTCTACATTGAACAGTGCATGGGAATGAATTACAGCCATTTGTTTGGTGAGAAGGGCTTAATGATTCTGATGAAAATAGGCTCTTTGTCTTTATCAAACTAATGTTTTTGCATATTTTCAGTGTGGAACCTGTCTATGTTTAGGGAGGTAATAGACTAGGCTAACCAATTCTAAATGCAACTAGCAGATCGCAAAGCAGGGTTGTCACTAACGTTAGTTCCCACAGCCACACAACCATAAACCCTGCACGTTTCTACATTATCACTTCTCAAAATCTTTTTTAAACCTATTAAACCTAGCCCTTAACCCTAACCTTAACCACACTGTTAACCTTATGCCTAACCCTAACCTTAAATTAAGACCAAAAAGCACTTTTTTGTTTTCATGATTTTTTACGACATAGCCAATTTGGACTTTGTGGCTGTGACAACCGCAAAGTAACCTAAGTGGAAAATGACCAAATTATTCCAAAACTACACCTCATTGTTGGAACACATATTTTGTGATGAAACTGTCGTAATTTGGCTTGTGTATCCCATCAGTTAGGTACGTTTTTATAGGCATTTATTTCTGTAGGCGCACACAGAACGCGTGTGTAGAGGGAGCGGTTGGAACGCAATTGAGTGAGTGAGACACGGAGGGGAAAGGGAATGTAGGAAGCAGAACCAAAGATTTTTATAACAGATTTGTGACGCTTGGCTTGGTTTCTTTTTTGTTGTGTCCCGCAAATCCACATGTACAAATAGAACACTTGAGTCAAAGCAAATTAACGTTGTCTTCAAGACCAAATTTCGACCAAATAGTTTTACAGTATAAAAAAAAAAAAAAGTGATCTCTGGTTAAATATCGAGTTTTGACGTCAGTTCGAGTACTCGAGTCCTCTTACCCATCCCTACCATCCAGCGCTTAGTGGTGGGCTATGCTATGCGAAGAGATGGGCGAAGTGACATGCCTTGCAAAGTTTAGAACTGTCAGTAGGATGGTTAATGGGCGCTGCCTAGCAACCATCAAGAGTTTAAGAGCATAGTGCGTACCGATGCCACCTCAGCATTACAGCTCCGTTTCATACTAAGCCGTAGGCAGAACTTTTACCCAAATGATTAGGCTTCTAGGTCGTTTGGTGGAAATAAAAGTTTCAGCTTTGATAACAGAAATAACTTTTCAGATTTAACAAAAGGCGGAAAAAAGTTGGCGGTATGATCAAGTTGGCGGAAAAACGTTTAAGTATGAAAGGGATAACACACGCATGCACGCACGCACAAACACGCACACACACCCTGGCTAGCACACACTCATTATATGAAAGCATGTCATTTATTGGTGGTTTCAATAGTCTGAGGAAGCATCTTCTCCTGCAGATGAAGGAAAGGAAACAAGGAAGGGACAAGGAAGCCTCTTTAGACTATTGAGATGCAGCCCAGCCTCTGTCACCTCATTTAAACTGCAGACCAGGCAGGCCCTGTTCTGCCCAGAACACCCATAGATTTCCATTGCTGACCCCACAGTGTCTGTCTGACTGACCTGTTTCAATCACTTCCTTTCTCTGAGTCACAGGCTTTACAGAGACCAGTGGAAACTAATAAGGTTGTGGCCCAAATACCACCCCATTCCATATACTGCGCACTACTTTTGACCAGCACTCTATGGCAGGGGTTCCCAACCTTTTTTCCACAGGGCCCCCTTTTCACATTAGAAAAATAGAAAATAGAAATAGAAGAGTTGGCTACAGCATGGGAAAGACAGTCAGCCTCTCTTGCTCTCTTCCCCTCTCCCCCTCTCTCCCTCTCTCCCTTTATAGCCTTCTCTCTCTCTCTCTCTCTGCTCCCCCTCCCTCTCCTTCTTTCCTCTCTTTCTCTCTCTGTCCTATAATATAATAATATATAATATAATAATAATATAATATAATATGCCATTTAGCAGACGCTTTTATCCAAAGCAACTTACAGTCATGTGTGCATACATTTTTACCTCTCAGTACATCACTGACCGTGCCTTTCCCCCTTTCATCTGTGTTGATCTTCCATTAGCCACCGCTAAGCTAGCTCTATAGTGACTCATCATTAGAACATCACCCAACAAGAGTCTTCCATTAGCCACCGTTAAGCTAGCTCTATAGTGACTCATCATTAGAACATCACCCAACAAGAGTCTTCCATTAGCCACCGTTAAGCTAGCTCTATAGTGACTCATCATTAGAACATCACCCAACAAGAGTCTTCCATTAGCCACCGCTAAGCTAGCTCTGCAGTGACTCATCATTAGAACATCACCCAACAAGTCTTCCATTAGCCACCGCTAAGCTAGCTCTATAGTTACTCATCATTAGAACATCCCCCAACAAGAGTCTTCCATTAGCCACCGCTAAGCTAGCTCTATAGTGACTAATCATTAGAACATCACCCAACAAGAGTCTTCCATTAGCCACCGCTAAGCTAGCTCTGCAGTGTGTGTGTGGTTCAGTGGGCAGGTGAGACAGATCTCAGGAGAAGGCCAGGTGCTAAGAGAGAGAGGTTATGGTTAGATGAGAGTGTGTGTTTGTATGGATGGAAAAGGGGTTTTAGTGCAATGGCGTGTGTGTAGGGGCGTGGGTTGCGATTAGGGAGTGTGTGTTTTGTGTGTGTGTGTGCGTGTGTGCTTTTTGTGTGTGTATGTATGGCGTGGAAAAGTCAGTGGAATGCACACACTCCTCTACTCTCATCCATAATTTAACTGTACCAGTCAGTAAGGCCTCTCTCTCTCTCTCTCTCTCTCTCTCTCTCTCTCATCGGAGTGCATGCTGGGAGTGAGTCGTGAAGCAGGAGTGATTATGAGAGACACTGGAATTCTTTTCACTCTATTGGGTTTCGGTGTGTATATATATATATATATTGATTAGTTTAGTTGTTTTAAGGTTATCTTGTCTAACTATCACTAAGCACGTATAGGGGTGGTGGGATCGTTGAGGTTGTTTTTCGCGAGGGCACAACCAGCGGGTGGGGCTGGTTGCAATGGCCACTCGCGGAGGTTTGTAGTTTGAAAAACTTAGTTGGCGGCATGGAGTAAAGATTCCTGCTGTGGCAGGGTGTTACGTGGAAGAATGTAGCTTAGCAGTGGGTGCTATCATTGGGTATGATAGCATAAAATCAGCCTCAAGGATGAATAGCGCTGTAGCGATATTCTTAAATTCCATTGAAAAGGTGAATACGATAGTTGAGAGTGGTGTTGTGTTGCGGGAGACACAGACGTTGGTATTTCCTCTTATGAATCCGGTTATACTTTCTAACGTGCCACCATTTGTTAGAGATGAAGTGTTGGAGCGAGAGTTCTCGTCATGGTCAACTTGTATCTACAATAAAGAAGATTCTTTTTGGATGCAAATCTCCTTTGCTGAAACATGTCGTGTCTCATAGGAGACAAGTGCATATGATTTTAAAGAAGGACACTGACGAACTGAATTTAGCATTCAGTTTTAAGATTGATGGATTTGATTATGTCTTCTACGCTTCTACTGAATCAATGAAATGCTTTGGCTGTGGATGAGAGGGGCATTTGGTACGTTATTGTCCCGAGAACGAGCGCGCAGAGCCCGGTAGCAGCTCTAGTGTTGGTGCAGCTAATGCACCACGAAGGAATGAACATTCTAAGGGTGCAGGGGAAGGGAGAAGGTGGGCAGATGTGGTTGGAAAAGTAGGAAAGGAAAGCAGTGTGGCTACGGGGGCAATTGTGGTAGATCAGAACAAAGAGGGAGGGGAAACAGTCGGTGAGATTGCGACTGCGGTCACTGAGGTGGTGCTGGAAAATGAAATTGGAGGTCAAGAGGAGATTGAAACAATGGAAAAGGAAGCAGCTGTTTTCAAAGTACCGAGGAGTAAGAGGAAGAATTTAAGGGGTTGTGAAGGGTCTAATTCTAAGAGGAAGGTAGAGATTGATAAATCAGTTGAGGATAAACAGGTTGTAGAGATGGTGGAGTTTTGTTCTGGGGAGGATAGCGAGAGTGAGTCATCTGACGCATCACAACAAAATAGTGAGATAAATGGGGTAGAAGGGAGGTACAGGATTGAGAAGGTACGTCAATTTCTGAATTTGACAAATTCTGAATTTGACAAAAGGGAATAAATATATGCAGGATTATAATGTAAAATATTTTTTTCCTGAAAGTGAATTGTTTATTGAATCAGCAAAGTTTCTGATGTCAAAAATAACAGGGGGAGGTTTGACAAACCCTGAAATTGCTAGACTCAAGAAAGTGGTCACGAGAGTGAAAAGTGATGTAAATTCTAAAGGAAATGAAAGAGTTTAGTCGCAGCCTTAACTCTGTAAAGAGATGTGGTTTATGTGTCTTCCTCTGCATTTTTTTCCCCATCCATGAGCAGTTTTAAGATTTCTTCGTTAAACGTAAATGGGGCAAGAGACGTTAAAAAAAGAGCCATAGTGTATGAGTTAATTAGGGGAAAGGGAAGTGACATACGTTTTCTACAACAAACGCATAGTAATATGGAAAATGAAGTTATGTGGCAACACGTGTCACGCCCTGGCTCTGGGGACACTGTTATGTTGAGCCAGGGTGTGTATTCTATGTTTGTATTTCTATGTTGGCCTGAGTGACTCCCAATCAGAGGCAACGAGTGTCAGCTGGTTGTCTCTGATTGGGAGCCATATTTAACTGTCTGTCTTTCACTTTGTGTTTGTGGTTTCTTGTTCGTGTTGGTTTGTGTTTAAACCATAGACGTCACGTTTTTCGTTTGTTGTTTTGATCGTGTGATCATTAAATAAATATAAATATGTTCACCTGCAACGCTGCGCCTTGGTCTCTCCCTGACGATCGTGACAGAAGAAACCACCAAAACCGGACCAAGCAGCGTGTCCAGGAGCCATCGCTAGCAGATCTCCGTGGCAACCTCGACTGGGTCAAGCCTAGTGAGGAGCAGAGAGGGTGGACTTGGGAACAGTTGAGGAAGAGCTTCGACTGGGTCAAGCCCATTGAGGAGCTGAATAGCGGGAGTTGGAGACAGAGGAGCGAGAGTTGGGCGAAAACGATAGAGGCCTGGCCCACGGGGAGGAGAGACCCCCAGAAATTTTTTTGGGGGGGGCTCACGACGTCGGGGCAGCAGGAGGCCGCGATAGAGCGGTCCAGCGGGTTGGCAGAGGAGGCCGCCAGGTTACGGGGGCCACTGGTCGAAGAGGGGATGGAAGGTGGAGAGGCACGGCGAGAGGTACTGGGGTGTGTTACCAGTCCGGTCCGGCCCGTTCCAGATCCCGGTGTAGGGCCAGTGGTGTGTGTCCCCAGTACGGTCCGGTCTGTTCCTGCTCCCCGCACCAAGTCTGTGGTGCGTTTCGTCAGCCCTGTCCGGCCCGTTCCTGCTCTCCGCACCAAGTCTGTGGTGCGCGTCGCCAGCCCAGTCCGGCCCATTCCTGCTCCCCGCACCAAGTCTGTGGTGCGTCTCGTCAGCCCGGCTCGGCCCGTTCCTGCTCCCCGCACCAAGTCAGTGGTGCGCTTCGTCAGCCCGGCTCGGCCCATTCCTGCTCCCCGCACCAAGTCTGTGGTGTGTTTCGTCAGCCCGGCTCGGCCCATTCCTGCTCCCCGCACCAAGTCTGTGGTGCGTTTCGTCAGCCCTGTCCGGCCCGTTCCTGCTCTCCGCACCAAGTCTGTGGTGCGCGTCGCCAGCCCAGTCCGGCCCATTCCTGCTCCCCGCACCAAGTCTGTGGTGCGTTTCGTCAGCCCTGTCCGGCCCGCTCCTGCTCCCCACACCAAGCCAGTGGTGTGCGTCGTCAGTCCAGCACGGCCCGTGCCTGTTCCCCACACCAAGCCAGTGGTGTGCGTCGTCGGTCCGGCACGGCCCGTGCCTGTTCCACTGGTGCCTGGTCCGGCACCGGTCAGATGCGTTACGCCGGAGCTAGAGCAATCCGCTCCATCAGTGTGCAGTCCAGCTCCGGCCAGCGGGGCCAGACCGGACCAGGGGTACTTTGGGGGGTTGGAGAGGGAGTGGGGATCAGGCCCGGAGCCGGATCCGCCGCCAAGGCGGAGTGCCCACCCGGTCCCTCCCCTGTGGTATTTAGTTGGCGCGGTCGGAGTCCGCGCCTTTAGGGGGGGGTACTGTCACGCCCTGGCTCTGGGGACACTGTTATGTTGAGCCAGGGTGTGTATTCTATGTTTGTATTTCTATGTTGGCCTGAGTGACTCCCAATCAGAGGCAACGAGTGTCAGCTGGTTGTCTCTGATTGGGAGCCATATTTAACTGTCTGTCTTTCACTTTGTGTTTGTGGTTTCTTGTTCGTGTTGGTTTGTGTTTAAACCATAAACGTCACGTTTTTCGTTTGTTGTTTTGATCGTGTGATCATTAAATAAATATAAATATGTTCACCTGCAACGCTGCGCCTTGGTCTCTCCCTGACGATCGTGACAACACGAGTGGGGGGTGGGGGGGGGGGACAGTGGTGTGTAGTCATAAAAACTCAAAAAGTGGGGGTGTGGCCATCTTGTTCTCAAAAGGGTTTTTGCCTTTGTCATATGAGGTTGAAGAGGTAGTTGAGGGGAGGTTATTAAAAGTTAGAGCGAGGTATGAAAACATCACTATGTGTCTGATGAATGTATATGCCCCAGTGGTGGCAGTTGAGAGGGTATGTTTTTTAGAGACATTATCAAATACCATTGAGAAATGTAATACTGAAGATTATTTATTTATTGCTGGGGATTTTAACTGCACAGTCAGTGATTTAGATAGAAATCACAAAGAACCTCATATAGCCTCAAGGACTTTTTAAAAACGCCTCATTGTAACACATGAACTGTGTGATATTTGGCGGAGTCAACATGGAGGCACGAGACAGTACACCTGGGCCCATGTGAGAGAGAACACCATGTCCATGGCCAGGTTAGATAGGTTTTATTGTTTTGAAGCATCAATCTCAGGTCTGTAAATCAAGTGTGATAACCCCAGTGGGATTTTCTGATCATTGTTTAATAACACAGGTGGTGTTCATTAATGCTGTAAAACCCAAAAACCCAAAAGCGCATACTGGCATTTTAATATAAGTTTATTGAGTGATAGTCACTTCAGGAAATGTTTTAGTTTTTTCTGGGAGAGGTGGAGGTCTCAAAAGGCCAGTTTTGTATCCCTTCAACAGTGGTGGGATATAGGGAAAATCCAGATTCAACAATTCTGTAATCAATACACGAGGAATGTCACCAAAGACATCACCAGATCAATGAAAGCCCTAGAGTCTGAAATAGTAGAACTCCTGACGTTGGTTGAGACCACAGGAGATCGAGGCCGTACTCAGGCCCTCAAGAGGAAAAAAGCTGCATTGGCAGACCTGCTGGGTATCAAAGCACAGGGGGCATTGGTGAGAAGTAAGTTTCAGGGAATATCTGAAATGGATGCCTCATCCAAATGTTTCTTTGGTTTAGAGAAAAAGAATGGACAAAGAAGAATTATTCATTGTCTCAAATCAGCTGTTGGACAGGAGCTCACTAGTCCTAGTGAAATTAGAAAGAGGGCAGTAGAGTTCTATGCTGATCTCTACAAGTGTGAGTACAAAGAGGATAAAACAATGACACAGCAGTTCCTTGATGGGCTCCCACAGGTGGCTGCAGAAGCTCAGGTTGAGCTAGAGCAACCATTGTCTTTGCAGGAGCTATACACTGCATTAAAAGGCATGGAAAATGGAAGGGCACCAGGCATTGATGGGCTTCCTGTTGACTTTTTAGTATTTTTGGGCTATGTTGGGAGAGGATTGGCTAGCAGTAGTTAATGATAGTTTGACCGGAGGGTTACTACAGATAAGCTGCAGAAGGGCTGTCCTCACCCTACTGCCAAAAAGGGGTGACCCTAGGGAGGTGAAGAACTGGAGGCCAGTGGCTTTATTGTGCACTAATTATAAGATCCTGTCAAAGGCTTTGTCCAAAAGGCTGATGGAGGTGATGGGGCAAATCATACATACGGACCAGTCCTACTGTGTTCCTGGCAGGCAGATAGGGGATAACATTTCTCTGATTCTGGATTTTGTGGACGTCTCTAGGGCTATTGGTTTTTTTTACATTTACATTTTTAGTCATTTAGCAGACGCACTTATCCAGAGCGACTTACAGGAGCAATTAGGGTTAAGTGCCTTGCTCAAGGGCACATCGACAGATTTTTCACCTAGTCGGCTCGGGGATTAGAACCAGCTACCTTTCGGTTACTGGCACAACGCTCTTAACCACTAAGCTACCTGCCGCCCCGGGTTGGATGCTGGTCTAATTTCAATTTCAATTGATCAGGAAAAGGCATTTGACCGAGTTGAACATCAATACTTATGGCACACTTTTGAGGTGTTTGGTTTCAGCTCTGGTTTTATTGCCATGATAAGGGTGATATATGGTGACATTGAAAGTGTATTGAAAGTTAACGGTGGCTTGAGTGCTCCTTTTAAAGTGTGTAGAGGTATTAGGCAGGGATGTTCTTTGTCTGGAATGTTATATGCCATTGCTATAGAGCCACTACTAAATAGCATTAGAAGTCGCATTGAAGGGGTGTACCTTTCAGAGGATATTCCTCCTATTCGTCTCTCAGCCTATGCTGATGATGTAGTTATTTTAGTGAAAAATCAAGCGGAGGTGGATAGTTTGAGTCTAATGGTTGATCGTTTTAGGGGAATATCCTCTGCAAAGGTAAACTGGGAAAAAAGTTGTGCTTTACAGATTGGAGAATGGTCTGGAGGGATCATGGCTTTGCCAGGGGGGCTGGAATGGTGTAAGGGAGGTTTTAAGTATCTTGGAGTGTACCTAGGAGATGAGGGGACAATGGGAAAATAAATGGAATGGGGTGGTTCAAATGGTGGAAGGGAGGATGAGGAGATGGCGTTGGTTGTTATCTCGTATGTCCTATAGGGGGCACACTATTATAGTTAACAATGTGGTTGCCTCTTAACAATGTGGTTGCCTCTGCACTGTGGCATCGGTTGTCAGTTTTAGAGCCACCATCTGGCCTTCTGGCTAAGATACAGGCAATTATTGTAGATTTATTTTGGGATAAATATAATTGGGTTCCACAAAGTGTTTTGTATTTGTCAAAAGAGGAGGGGGGACAAGGTCTTGTACATCTTACTAGTAAGGTTGCTTTATGGACCGGAAAATGTGGTTTGGAGAGTGGTGGCAGGTTTTGTATTACAGCAGGTTGGGGGATTAGGTTTAAAGAAGGCTTTATTTTTGGTCGATAGTAGCCAGATTTCTAGGGAGGGAGTACCTCCATTTTACAGAGGCCTTCTAAGGGTGTGGAGCATAATGAAGGTGTCCAGACGCACTTCAGCGGATCAGTGCATTGGCTGTTGGAGGAACCTCTGGTGTATGGGGCAAGACTGGATTGTGCAACTGCAGCTGTTCCACATTTCTCCAAGATTCTGGTGAAGGGCAAAATCATCACCTTAAAACAGTTAATGGCCATGGCTTGGCCCGCGTTAATGGATGGAAGACGGGTGGCTGAACATTTGGGGGTGAGGTCGGAAAGGATTGTCGGACAACTGCTGGGAAGCTGCAGGAAGGCTCTGTCAGCAGAAGAGTGGGGTATGCTTAATAGTCACAAGAAGAAGGTACAAGATGAATACGTCTCATTTCCAAGACTAGGGATTACACCCAATATCCCAGAGTCAGAAAGAAAGGCGTTATTACTGGATTTGAGAGGGTTGGAAGAAGTGGGTTTGGATGAGGTGAATGGGAAATACTTATATAGGGGGTGTGTCAAGGTGTTGAATAAAGATACATTGAAAAATAGAAAAGACACTCCATGGAGGGTGAAATTGGGCATTGATGACAAGGTAAAGCCAGCATGGAGAGCACTGAACAAGCCTCCGTTACAAAAGGGTACTGGTGATATGCAATGGAGGGTTTTGCATGGCATCATTGAAGTTAATGCTTTTGTATCTGTTAATAACTCAGATGTTGGAGATGGATGTCCTTTTTGTAATATAAGAGAAACAATTTTTCACTGTTTTATGGAGTGTGAGAGGATAAAACCTCTCTTGGAAATGCTGGAGTCTTTGTTTAAAGCTGTAGGGGAGATTTTCAATAACACTGTTTTTATTTTGGGGTTTCAATATAGTAAGCAACAGAAAAGAAAATGTCAACTGTTACATTTTATTTTGGGACAAGCTAAGATGTCAATTTTTCTGAGTAGGAAACATAAGATAGAAACGGGATATGGGCAGGATGTAAGATGTGTTTTTAAAGGATTGGTGAAAGCGAGAATAAAAGTGGATTTTGAGTTCTTCTTGGCAGTAAAATATCTCCCATTGTTTGAGGAGAAGTGGGCTTACGAAGGAGCGGTTTGTTTTGTGTAGGAGGGGAAACTATTTTTTGTTGATGAAATGAGTTGAATGTATATATATGCTTTTTTGTATTTTCATTTAATTTATTTTTTAATTTAGGAATGACATTTGTTGTTTCATTTCTGAAAAGGCAGTGTGCCATTATTTGTGTTAACACTTGGTTTTATAAAATCTCTCTCTCTCTCTCTCTCTCTCTCTCTCTCTCTCTCTCTCTCTCTCTCTCTCTCTCCAGTCCTATCTGACATCATCATCGCCATAGGGATGGGAACGCCGGACAATCCATTTTCCCATATTCCCCCACACTGTCTTGGTCCCTAGAACAACTTATTGGATGACTAAGACATTGTCATATCATCTTTTATATTAAATGGATTCACAGTTTCCCACACACTTTCTTCTTCTTCTCCTCCTTCAACACCAGCCATCCCTCCCTCCTTCCCTCCTCCTTTTCTTCATTCAATCCCCTCAATTACCTTCATTACCCCCATTACAGTTGAAAAGGAGGAGAAGGAATCAGGATAACTGTCTGGCTGCTTTACTGCATATCTTGCTGACGTTAGACCGTTAGCGTGTTGGCGCTCTGCATTGGGTTTGTGTGGGTTTTTTAGCTGAGTCATGCCAGCCAGGGGTTAAATATTAGAGGTAGGGATAATGACTGGGTTTGGAGACAAAGACAGGTGAGGCGGCACAGTGTGTGTGTGTGTGTGTGTGTGTGTGTGTGTGTGTGTGTGTGTGTGTGTGTGTGTGGTGCTTTGACGGTAAACAATGGTCGAGACACATTTTCTTATCATCTGTCCAGAGGTGTGTCATTATATTCCAGACAAAACACTAATGCTGTCTGTCTAGATTTATCATCATCTTTCTCATCTCTCTTCCTCATGCTCTCTCTCTCTCTTGCTCTCTCTCCACCTGCTGAGCAGTGAATGGCTGCTATAGTGCTGACTGAGGCCTCAATTCTCTTTCCCTCTCTTCCTTTTCTCCCTCTCATCTCTCTCTCTCTCTCTCTCTCTCCCTTTCTCTCTAACTCTCTTTCTCTCCCTCTCATCTCTCTCCCTTTCTTTCTCTCTCTAACTCTCTCTTTCTCTCTCTGCTCAAGTAGATGTCGTTCAGACAATGGCGTGTATTCGTGGATGCCTAGGGAAGCCAGGCTTCCCAAAGAAAAAAACATATCAAATAATTTATCTTTAGTCTCTCTATGTTTCATAAGGGAAGCCAGTTTGGATTTGGCTTCACTCCAATCAAATCGCATCGAGAGCATACGTCATTGACAGAACCTCATTGTGCATCTCCTTGTGTTGCCATCCTCTATCTAAAATTGGATGGCGATAGGAATTTGGACTTGTGGTTTTACTTAATTCTCCGTATTGGCCAATGATTATAACGCCGATTCTGATCCAACCATTAATTCATACATTGTACCCCTGGCCTGAGAGAATGGAAGTTCAATAACTAGCCAACGTTGCCCATGAAAGGAAGTTAGGCTAGTGGGCAAGGATTTAGCCCGGTAGCCTAGGACAACAAAAAATAAAAGAGTGATAGACAATTTCTTCAACATTAAAGAGAGGAGGATGGCATTGGCGTTTCTCTACAAGTAGAGTGAGTCAACATGTTTTTTCTACTTGCATGAATGTGCACGCACACACAAAACACACCCACACCCACACAGAAATCAGAACCATTGACAGCCACATCATTTATATACTGAACAAAACTATAAACGCAACATGCAACAATTTCAAAGATTTTACTGAGTTAGTGTTCACATAAGGAAATCGAAACAATCAATTGAAATAAATTCATTAGGCCCTAATCTATGGATTTCACATGAGTGGGAATACAGATATGCATCTGTTGGTCACAGATACCTTAAAAAAAAGTAGGGGTGTGGCTCAGAAAACCAGTCAGTATCTGGTGTGACCACCATTTGCCTCATGCAGTGCGAATCATCTCCTACGCATAGAGTTGATCAGGCTGTTGATTGTGGCCTGTGGAATGTTGTCCCAATCCACTTCAATGGCTGAGCGAAGTTGCTGAATATTGGTGGGAACTGGAACACGCTGTCGTACACGTCGATCCAGAGCATCCCAAAAATGCTGACGTGTGACATGTCTGGTGAGTATGCAGGCCATGGAAGAACTGGGACACTTTCAGCTTCCAGGAATTGTGTACAGACCCTTGCGACATGGTGCTGTGCAGTGTCATGCTGAAACATGAGGTGATAACAGCGGATGAATGGCACGACAATGGGCCTCAGGATCTCGTCACTGCATCTCTGTGCATTCAAATTGAAATCGATAAAATGCAATTGTGTTCATTGTCCATAGCTTGTCGTACACGTCAATCCAGAGCATCCCAAACATGCTCAATGGATGACATGTCTGGTGAGTATGCAGGCCATGGAAGAACAGGGACATTTTCAGCTTTGGTTCAGAACATTAAATTCTCTGGCAATAGCTCTGGTGGACATTCCTGCAGTCAGCATGCCAATTGCATGCTCCCTCAAAACATGAGCCATCTGTGGCATTGTGTTGTGTGACAAAACTGCACATTTTAGAGTGGCCTTTTATAAGGTGCACCTGTGTAATGATCATGCTGTTTAATCAGCTTCTTGATATGCTACACCTGTCAGGTGGATGGATTAGCTTGGCCAAAGGAGAAATGCTCACTAAAAGGGATGTAAACAAATTTGTGCACACAGTTTGAGAGAAATAAGCTTTTTGTGCATATGGAAACATTTCTGGGATCTTTTATTTCAGCTCATGAAACATGTTACTAACACTTTATATGTTGCGTTTATATTTTTGTTCAGTGTAGCTTACGTTGATTGGAATAAATAAATGTTGGTATATTTTAGTTGTCACTGTATTAGACTAAGCATAGGTGATTTGATGTTGAAATGTTGAAGTTGAAATGGTGCTGGAATAGTGGAGGCAGCTCCTGTTTTTTTTTGCGACTTGCGGTAATTCTCAGTGGTTCTAAATCAATAGTTGTTTACTGGTCTGAAAATGTCAGAAGCATTAACTTGCTTGACCATGCTGTAGGTCATATTACTGTTTGTTACACGCAAAATGCTTTGTGGACCTCACCGGACAGAGGTTGCTCTCCCGTTTTGTGATGAAACAAAGGTGTGGTTGAATTTATTCTGCCACTGTGTCTTATTGTCTCGGCCTTAGGCCTATACAGTGCTATGAAAAAGTATTTGCCCCCTTTCTAATTTTCTCTACTTTTGCATATTTGTGATACTGAATGTTATCAGATCTTCAACCAAAACCTAATATTAGATAAAGGGAACATAAGTGGACAAATAACACAACAATTACATATTTATTTCATAAACAAAGTTATGCAACACCCAATTCCCCTGTGTGAAAAAGTAATTGCCCCCTTACACTCAATAACTGGTTGTGCCACCTTTAGCTGCAATGACTCCAACCAAATGCTTCCTGTAGTTGTTGATCAGTCTCTCACATCGCTGTGTTGGAATTTTGGCCCACTCTTCCATGCAGAACTGCTTTAACTCAGTGATGTGTGGGTTTTCAAGCATGAACTGCTCGTTTCAAGTCCTGCCACAACAACTCAATTGGGATTAGGTCTGGACTTTGACTAGGCCATTCCAAAACTTCCAATTTGTTGCTTTTTAGCAATTTTCATGTAGACTTGATTGTGTGTTTTGGATCATTGTCTTGCTGCATGACCCAGCTGCGCTTCAGCTTCAGCTCACAGACGGATGGTCTGACATTCTCCTGTAGAATTCTCTGATACAGAGCAGAATTTATGGTTCCCTCTATTAAGGCAAGTCGTCCAGGTCCTGAGGCAGCAAAGCATCCCCAAACCATCACACCACCACCACCATGCTTGACCTTTGGTATGATGTTCTTACTGTGGAATGCAGAGTTTGGATTTCGCCAGGCATTACTGGAACCATGTCGTCGAAAAGTTATACTTTTGAATCATCTGTCCATAGAACGTTCTTCCAAGAGTCTTGATGATCATCCAGGTGCTTTTTGGCAAACTTGAATCAACTTTTTGGATGAGAAGGGTCCCATTTATTAGAAAGGGGGCAAATACTTTTTCATAGCACTGTATATCACGTTATCAAGGCATATGAACTAACCGATTATAGAGCGAACAACGCAATTATCACAACACATAGGTTGTAATATGGCATTTATTTCTGGCTTGGCTTCCCCAGTGATTTTACCCATGCACCTCTACTGCGTTCAGATGTAATTACCCCTAGTCAGACAAACAGACAGACAAAGACATTCAAGGACGAGTGTGTGTGTGTGTGTGTGTGTGTGTGTGTGTGTGTGTGTGTGTGTGTGTGTGTGTGTGTGTGTACACTGTAACTGTATATGTGCAACAATCAATAACGTCTACAACAACACAATACTTATTTCCAAACCCATCACATCAACCATTTTTTCCACTTGCGTCACAGCAATCACCACTGATGGCTCTCATGTCAATCAGCAAGGTCATGCGACTAATCTCCTTGTGGCTCCATCACATTAGCTTACGTAAGGTGAGTCCTACTGTACGGACCAAAATGGCCACCGAGCTTCACCACCCAGGTGGCTTTTACACCTCTACACATTACCAGAGGATTAGATCAGGTAAGTAAATCCAAAACACTGTAAAGAGCGATCCGATGAAAGGTCCCATTGTACAGTAGCCTGTACAGATACCCTGTAATCCAATGGTAATAAGGGAACTGGAGAACCATGTTGGCTCAAGTCTTTCACAACCCTTTGAGCATCTGAACCTCAATTACATTCAGTTGAATGTATAGTGTCAACTTCAAATAACTGTTAAACGTATTTAAGTGAGTTGAAAAATAAACTTCAAAAAAACACAGTTGTTTAAGAGCAAAAAACACTGAGCAACCTAAAACATTCAGTTTGACTGCATCAGGTTTTTCTAGACAGAAAACGTTTTCTCTTGAGGTACAAGGCAATGCGGCGTCCCTCTCTCTCTATTAGGCGAACACATACACACACACACACACACAGAGTGAATAAATAGTTCCGACGTTAGCAGTTAGAAGTGTTGCTCGGGCCTGCAGCGAACAGTGTTGAACGGTGCATGTAACAGGAGGAGAACGGTGATGCAGAGCGTTACACATGAACGCAGCCCGTTCAGCATCACAGGCCATTTAGTACAGCTACTGATGGTGGAGGAAGCCCTTTCAGAGAGAGAGAGAGAGAGAGAGAGAGAGAGAGAGAGAGAGAGAGAGAGAGAGAGAGAGAGAGAGAGAGAGAGAGAGAGAGAGAGAGAGAGAGAGAGAGAGAGAGAGAGAGAGAGAGAGAGAGAGAGAGGAGAGAGGGGGGGGGGGGGTGTGTGAGCGAGGGAAAAGGGTGTATGTGTGTGTGTGTGTGTGTGTGTGTGTTCCTCTGTGCAGATGAGGGAGGCAGCGGCAGAAATGACACACACACACAATGAGAAGAAGTAGGTCTACAGTGCAGCTGTATTAACCAGATTTGAACTGTGAGGGAACTGAAACCGTCAGGTTTCTTAAACCAACATGTTGCCTAGAACGAAACTAAAAACAAAATGAGTGCGTGTTTGAGAGAGACAAAGACAGAGGGAGAGAGCGAGAGTGAATATTTTGTTGCAAGAGATGGACACAAGTAGTACATGCATTCTAGGGGTTAATGTGGGGACAAGGCCCCCAAGACTATATGTCTGTATGTCTGTCTCCACTCTGTTTTCTACAGCTGAGCTGAGTCACAATTCATATGTTATGACTGGAGCAGACCTGTCAGGCTGTCAGCATAGTATGTTGAGGCAGTGAAGTATGTGTGTGTGTGTGTGTGTGTGTGTGTGTGTGTGTGTGTGTGTTTGTGTGTATGTGTGTGCGTGTGTGTAGAGGCTAGCTAAGGACACCATTAGTTATAGTAGAGGAACTACCCTTCACACCACCCAAGAGATCATGCTCAGACTAGGGTTGAATATTTTCCCGTTATTTTACAAATGTTCCATCCGGAGAATAAATCACTTTTCTCCCAGGTAACCCGGTATTTCCCATCAAAACCGGAAGTGTCATTTAAAAGCATTATATAGTATATAAATAGGCCTATGTCTGGATTTGATTAGAGCTTTGATCAAAAATTCAAGCCTGATGCAACCTGAGCCTGATTAAATACATTTTATGAGCCCTACATTAAAGACATTTAATGAGCCCAAGCTCAAAAAAGCCAAAATGATTGTTATCCAATACATAGGCTATATGATATAGGCTACTGCACATTACACAACACAGAAAAACATAAAAGCCCGTAGCTAGCTAAATGCTCTCTTGGTAAATACATGAAACTAGCTCCAGTAGGCTAATCTTTTTGAGTGTGAACTGTATTACTGTACTGTATTGTGTTATACTGTGTTATTGGACTGGAATTACAGGGAGAGAACATGTGATTCATGTGATTCTGGTGCAGCACATGCAGCCTACAAAGTTACAAGTATAGGCTAGCGAATTTAATTTGAATTTTTCATAATATTTCCCCTAATGTTATTAGTCTACCTCCTCTTTCTCTCTCTATTGTTGCTTCATTCCTTCCTCGCTTCCAACAGTTAAATGAAATACGTTTTGTTGTCCTTATCTTCATCATTCTAATGACACGCTTGAATAATATAGGACTAGAATGAGATGCAGAAGGCTTTGGTTACGGATCTGAATAAATAACTGCTATAGCCCACCGCCATCGTGCATTTGCTCTTCTTTCAAACTACACGTGAGTTCTGTTGGCTGCTGTATTTTCATTCAGCAAACAAGAGCTTGTGTTCCTCTTCGAATAGTCTATTGAACATTAGAAATGCTAAAAAAATAATGTCCAGCAAGGTATTCTAGTCTAGCGTTTCCTGCATGGGACTCCAAGAGTGAAGGAGCGTTTTTTAAAGGAGAGGCCAGTGGAGCACAGGTGCGTGCTTATTGCGCAAGAGACAGAGGCTATAAGTTAGAAGCTTATTATGCATAACCCATCATTCATTAGCTAAATATAAGGCTAATATGACATTGAGTTTATTACCTGAAAGAGGTGGGCTAGGACATCTATATATAGGCCTATACAGTGCATTCGGAAAGTATTCCCCTTGACTTTTTCCACATTTTGTTACGTTACAGCCTTACTCTAAAATGGATTAAATAAAACATGTTCCTCATCAATCTACACACAATACCCCATAATGACAAAGCAAAAACAAATTTGTATACATTTTTGCTAAGGTGAAGGTTCACCTTCCAACAGGACAACGACCCTAAGCACACAGCCAACACAACGCAGGAGTGGCCCAGCCAGAGCTTGAACCCGATCAAACATCTGTGGAGAGACCTGAAAATAGCTGTGCAGCGATGCTCCCCATCCAACCTGACAGAGCTTGAGAGGATCTGCAGAGAAGAATGGGAGAAACTCCGCAAATACAGGTGTACCAAGCTTGTAGCGTCATACCCAAGAAGACTCAAGGCTGTAATCGCTGCAAAAGGTGTTTCAATAAAGTACTGAATAAAGGGTCTGAATACTTATGTAAATTTGAAGTTTAATTTAATTTTATAAATTTGCAAAAATGTATAAAAACCTGTTTTTGCTTTGTCATTGTGGGGTATTGTGTGTATATTGATGAGAACATATTTTTAAAAAATACATTTTAGAATAAGGCTGTAATGTAACAAAATGTGGAAAAAGTGAAAGGGTCTGAATACTTTCCAAATGCACTATATATCAATCTTGAACAGGATTACCCATTTTGGATGCAATTTGACTGGAATTGATGGAGAGAGAGAAAGACTGCGAGAGAGTACTTGCTCGTGCACTGATTTAAAGCAACAATATAGGAGTGTTATAAAACTCTGCAGCTGCAAGAAAAAAAATATCATCTTTACAATTGAAAAATAAGGTGACCCCCAAAAGCCACGTGGAGATGGGTAAATTAGACGCGCATTCGGCCATTATCTTACTGCAGCATAGGCTATGCAAATGTAGGCCTACCTGTCACAAGAAAAAAAGTAACCATGATGAGATGATAGGTCTACATGCATTGTGAAGTGCGCTCCATACTGAGATGGTCTGTCCCCACCCTGAGCGTTGATTCAGCATGCAGAGGCCGTAGAGAAGCCAGATTTAGACATTGCATATAATTTAACAGTTCCATTTCACGCCATGCTGTTCATACAAATAATTTATTTCTAATTTACCGGTTTCTCGCAGTTATTTATTACGGGAAAAGAGAGTGATTTTGGGCGGTAAATCTCGGTAACCGGGTTCCCGCCATTCAAACCTAGCTTAGACCTGCCTGTCACACACACGCGCATGCACACATGCATAAACCTACGCACTTACACACATACAGGCAGGCACACACACACAGACTGAGCCACATCTCATATCAACAACAGTGTATTACAAATTCCTAACCGTCTGTTAGACAAAGCATGTTGTGCAACTATTAGGGTTTAATGTGAATACCACACTATCAGTTTGGCAGAGATGACTGTGTTTTCTACTTGTTGAGACTTGCATCCAGGCAATACTGTCAGTGTCAACAACAAACAATCACTAGCCATGTCTTCAAGGAGAGGAACAAATGAGGGAGGGAAACAGACAGACAGACAGACAGACAGACAGACAGACAGACAGACGAGAGAGAGAGAGAGAGAGAGAGAGAGAGAGAGAGAGAGAGAGAGAGAGAGGAGAGAGAGAGATAGAGAGAGAGGGAGAGAGAGAGAGAGAGAGAGAGAGAGAGAGAGAGAGAGAGAGATAGAGATAGAGATAGAGATAGAGATAGAGATATAGATAGATAGATAGATAGATAGATAGATAGATAGAGACCACAGACATACATCCTTTTATCCATCATTTATTTATCCAGGAATGTACAGTGAGGGAAAAAAGTATTTGATCCCCTGCTGATTTTGTACGTTTGCCCACTGACAAAGAAATTATCAGTCTATAACTTTAATGGTACGTTTATTTGAACAGTGAGAGACAAAATAACAACAAAAAAATCCAGAAAAACGCATGTAAAAAATGTTATAAATTGATTTGCATTTTAATGAGGGAAATAAGTATTTGACCCCCTCTCAATCAGAAAGATTTCTGGCTCCCAGGTGTCTTTTATACAGGTAACGAGCTGAGATTAGGAGCACACTCTTAAAGGGAGTGCTCCTAATCTCAGTTTGTTACCTGTATAAAAGACACCTGTCCACAGAAGCAATCAATCAATCAGATTCCAAACTCTCCACCATGGCCAAGACCAAAGAGCTCTCCAAGGATGTCAGGGACAGGATTGTAGACCTACACAAGGCTGGAATGGGCTACAAGACCATCACCAAGCAGCATGGTGAGAAGGTGACAACAGTTGGTGCGATTATTCGCAAAATAACTGTCAATCCCCCTCAGCCTGGGGCTCCATGGAAGATCTCACCTCGTGCAGTTGCAATGATCATGAGAACGGTGAGGAATCAGCCCAGAACTACACGGGAGGATCTTGTCAATGATCTCAAGGCAGCTGGGACCATAGTCACCAAGAAAAGAATTGGTAACACACTACGCTGTGAAGGACTGAAATCCTGCAGCGCCCGCAAGGTCCCCCTGCTCAAGAAAGCACATATACAGGGCCGTCTGAAGTTTGCCAATGAACATCTGAATGATTCAGAGGAGAACTGGGTGAAAGTGTTGTGGTCAGATGAGACCAAAATCGAGCTCTTTGGCATCAACTCAACTCGCCGTGTTTGGAGGAGGAGGAATGCTGCATATGACCCCAATAACACCATCCCCACCGTCAAACATGGAGGTGGAAACATTATGCTTTGGGGGTGTTTTTCTGCTAAGGGGACAGGACAACTTCACCGCATCAAAGGGACGATGGACGGGGCCATGTACCGTCAAATCTTGGGTGAGAACCTCCTTCCCTCAGCCAGGGCATTGAAAATGGGTCGTGGATGGTTATTCCAGCATGACAATGACCCAAAACCCACGGCCAAGGCAACAAAGGAGTGGCTCAAGAAGAAGCACATTAAGGTCCTGGAGTGGCCTAGCCAGTCTCCAGACCTTAATCCCATAGAAAATATGTGGAGGGAGCTGAAGGTTCGAGTTGCCAAACGTCAGCCTCGAGACCTTAATGACTTGGAGAAGATCTGCAAAGAGGAGTGGGACAAAATCCCTCCTGAGATGTGTGCAAACCTGGTGGCCAACTACAAGAAACGTCTGACCTCTGTGATTGCCAACAAGGGTTTTGCCACCAAGTACTATAATAATAATAATAATAAGTACTAAGTCATGTTTTGCAGAGGGGTCAAATACTGTTATTCTGTCTCTCACTGTTCACATAAACCTACAATTAAAATTATAGACTGATCATGTCTTTGTCAGTGGGCAAACGTAAAAAATCAGCAGGGGATTAAATACTTTTTTCCCTCACCGTAAGTCATTGAGGAAGAATTATACCCGACAATAACATCCTGGGAATTGCTAAATGTGTATCCCAGTAGCCTAAGTCCGACATCTGTTAGTACTGTATCGCCAACTCCTCCAGATGTAGGATCTTAATTTGATCACCCTGTTGCAGGAGAACTTTCCAATACACTGAGGTAAGCTTGGTTTATATGGTATCGAGTAAAGCTTAAACCATGTATTTAGATTGTAGGTAGGTAGGTATTGTAGTTAGGTATTGTAGGTAGTTTATCTAGGTAGTTATTGTAGGTTATTGTAGGTAATTATTGTATTCGGCTGAGCCCGGTGAATCACGAGGCTAGCTAACTCACTACCTGGACCAATAAAGCTAGCTAGCTAGCGGGTAGCTACTGGTAACTATTAGCAACTGTGGATAGTTGTTTCCAATGTTATTTCACGCTTAAGAGTACCTGTAATTATGCCAGCTAGCTACCTACCATTCAGCTGTCTTTCTAACCTCATTATCTGAAGCGTTAACGTTAGGTAGTTAGTAGCTACTGTACTCGAAATGTAGCTAGCTTGTTGCTACCTGGATAGCTAACTAAACAATAGCTGGAACGACCTAGCTTTAATATCATTGGGACAGACGCTAACTGGCTGAATCGATTCAGTGGCTAGCTTTGCACTTAACTGGCTAACAGTAGCTACTAAAAGTAAGTTATAACCTACATTTTTATTTCTGTTTTGTTTTTACATACTGGTAACCAGAGTTGTTCAAGGGAATTCGGGACATGGGTGACTAGTTAACGTTAGCTTGGCTCTCTGTGTGTTCGTGCTGTGGGAGGGGTTGGTTCGTTGGCAGATAGCAATGGCTAGCTAGTATGCTAACTATTCTAGCTAACTAACTGGCTGAATAAGTTGACGACGTACTCACTCAAACTGTCAAAACTAACCCAAAACTTTACACAACGTTAGACACGGACACAAATGATCTGCTTGGCGTGTTAACACACTGGTTTGTTGTAACCGAGTATTGGTGCTAAACCGTGTCATTGGAGGCTGGCATGCTAGTTGGCTTTGGCGTCATAGGATTTGGTGCCCTGGATGGTTTTCGCGGAAGAATACTGTACCAAGTTAGCTAGCTGAATAAACTAAGTTAGAGTCTATTCCTAGAAAACATTGAACCGCTGTAGTTTACAACAATTATAATTTCTAAAGTGAAGTTGGGAGAGTTTTATTTCAGTTTTTTCCTTGAAAGGTAAGTGAGGGAGGCCCCACTCTCTCGCTTTCCCAGATGTTTAGTTCATTTCATTCCGATCTCCTTTGCATTATTGTAGCCTTTTTCTGTAGCCTTTCAACTATGTGTCTGTCTATCCCTGTTCTCTCCTCTCTGCACAGGCCATACAAATGCTTCACACTACGTGGCTGTTGCCACTCTAATCTGGTGGTCCCTGCGCGCACGACCCACGTGGAGTTCCAGGTCTCTGGCAGCCTCTGGAACTGCTGTTCTGCGGCCAACAAGGCAGAATTCATCTCAGCCTATGCTACCCTCCAGTCCCTCGACTTCTTGGCGCTGACGGAAACATGGATTACCACAGAAAACACTGCTACTCCTACTGCTCTTTCCTCGTCTAACCATGTGTTCTCGCATACCCCGCGAGCATCAGGTCAGCGCGGCGGTGGCACAGGAATCCTCATCTCTCCCAAGTGGACATTCTCTCTTTTCCCCCTGACCCATCTGTCTATCTCCTCATTTGAATTCCATGCTGTCACAGTCACTAGCCCATTCAAGCTTAACATCCTTGTCATTTATCGCCCTCCAGGTTCCCTTGGAGAGTTCATCAATGAGCTTGACGCCTTGATAAGTTCCTTTCCTGAGGATGGCTCACCCCTCACAGTTCTGGGTGACTTTAACCTCCCTACGTCTGCCTTTGACTCATTTCTCTCTGCCTTCTTCTTTCCACTCCTTTCCTCTTTTGACCTCACCCTCTCACCGTCCCCCCCTACTCACAAGGCAGGCAATACGCTTGACCACATCTTTACTAGATGCTGTTCTTCTACTAATCTCACTGCAACTCCCCTCCAAGTCTCCGACCACTACTTTGTATCCTTTTCTCTCTCGCTCTCCTCCAACACTACTCACTCTGCCCCTACTCAGATGGTAATGTGCCGTCGCAACCTTCGCTCTCTCTCTCCCGCTACTCACTCCTCTTCCATCATATCATCTCTTCCCTCTGCTAAATCCTTCTCCCTCCGATCTCCTGATTCAGCCTGCTCAACCCTCCTGTTCATTTCTAGTAGTTTTTTCTAGTAGTTGTTGTTAAATTTGTTTCTTATCACTTTTATTTATTGTTTATTTCACTTGCTTTCAATGTAAACACGTTTCCAATGCCAATAAAGCCCCTTGAATTTAATTGAATTGAGAGCGAGACATAAGGAGTCTGGGAAAAATAGTTATAGCGTGTCAAATCCCTTCTAGCTGGGTAAATAACCTAGGGCTGTTTGTGACTGTTTGTGTGTGTGTGTGGGGGGTACATCCTGCTAGCGCCCGTCGCTAATCCGCATAGAGAGATAATGCCGTTCTCACTCTCTCCCTCTCCCTCTCCCTCTCCCTCTCTCGGTCTCTCTCTCGGTCTCGCTCTCGGTCTCTCTCTCTGTCTCTCTCTCTGTCTCTCTCTCTGTCTCTCTCTCTGTCTCTCTCTGTCTCTCTCTCTGTCTCTCTCTCTGTCTCTCTCTCTGTCTCTCTCTCTGTCTCTCTCTACTCCAGGAGTAAGAGAATAAAAACATGCTTCTGTGGCCTAATCTATCTATCTATCTATCTATCTATTATTTAATAGGGAGTCAGTGAGAAAGAACTTTGTTGACATTCTAGATGTAGACTGAAGCTTCTAGAATGTTGCTGCTTCAGTGTGGAATCAGCAGAATGATAGCCAATTAACATGAAAGGTGTTTAGAAAGACACTCAGAGAAAGATGGTGCATGTGTCCCTGCGTGCATGTGTTGACTGATTAATCATCACTATAATGTATTAAAACACAGCTCAGGGTAACTGAAACTGGAATGGGCTGTATATCATGTGACGGGTCACGTGTTACAGGAAGTGGCGTAGACGCAAAGAAACAGTTGTCTTATCAGCAAAACTAACAGTTCCCATTTTCACAACTCTATCTCATTTGCCAGATAAATATTTAGGTCAATGCTTAGCCTACAGTAAGTTCAATAGAGAAGTGGTAAAAGAAGTAGCTCCACATTACACAGCGGTCATGTTGAGTCTTTGCATTGAGGACAAACAAAAGGCACAACGAACAGCACAACACACTGTAAAATAGATATTATTCCAGTTGAATTTTCAATGGGGCAGCAACAGTCTTCACCCACAAGTCATACCCAAGTCATAACCAACCAAGTCATAAACCGCTGATTTGCTTCTAGATACAGTATGAGTGCCATTTACCAGCATTGGTAGACTGACTCATGATAGTGTGTGTGTGTGTGGCGTGTGTGTGCGCGCGCGCGCACATGCGTGCATGTGTGTGTGAGTGTTAGGTGGAGACAACAGTATAGAGACAGTGACATTTTAAAAGCTTCAAACTAACAATAAGCCTCCTATCCAATCATTCTAGTGATCTTTTTAAAGCTTCTGAGATAACTGATACAGTTCAACCAAGAGCAAGCCTCCTATGTAATCATTAACAACATTAGGGTCATGTCAGGTAATACCTTTTCTGTATTACAGCACTTTTTCATCTTCATACAATGAATGACTGTAAGCTAATCTACCGTAACTGTATCATGCCAACACAGTTAGTCAGAGTCGGAACAGTGAATAATCTTTCACTCGACAGGTGGACAGGTCCAGACCTGGGTGAAATATCATTCTCTCTCTCTCCTATATCTCTCTCTCTCTCTCTCTCTCTCTCTCTCTCTCTCTCTCTCTCTCTCTCCCTCTCTCTCTCTCTCTCTCTCTCTCTCTGCCTCGCTCACTGTCTCTTCCTCTACTTGCTTCTCTCTCGTTCAGACATGGAACCACAGCTATGCATCCTTAAAGAGAGGTCGGAAAACATCCACCTGGAATTCAGTGCGTGTGTCTGTGTGTAACCGGTGTGAAATGGCTAGCTAGTTAGCGGTGCGCCCTAGTAGCATTTCAATCGATGACGTCACTCGCTCTGAGACCTTGAAGTAGTTGTTTCCCTTGCTCTGCAAGGGTCGCGGCTTTTGTGGAGCGACGGGTAACGGTGCTTCGAGGGTGACTGTTGTCGATGTGTGCAGAGGGTCCCTGGTTCAAGCCCAGGTAGGGGCGAGGAGAGGGACGGAAGCAACACTGTTACATATGTATGTGTGACTGTAGACAGAAGGTCTGGTTTTTACGTGGGACCGAGGCCACGTTCCCAATCCTACTCCGGGAATATCTCTCTCTCTCATCAGCCTCTGTCATCATTCCCAAATGTAATTGGCCCATTTACTCTGCACTGTACACTATATATTGAGAAACACCCAGAGTGTATTTTCTCTCGCTTCAGCTCAAATAATGGCCGCCATTGATTTCAAGAAATGTTACGTCATTTTTTACGTGATTGGGTCATATTTCTTTGCATACTTTCTGTTGAAGCTTGCATCGATGCTTGCTTCAAAATATGTACAAACGAAGAGTGCCCCCCGTGCTCCATTTCAAATACTTTGATTTGGACTCATACTCCGATCCTCCCATGCTCCAATTTGCGTGCTCGGAGCACGGTAGTGTGCATTTTGAGAAACACCCTCCGACTTCAGAATGAAATGTTGCCTATTCACATCTCATATGTTGCCTGACTATGTCACGTTCGTTGAAGGACGGGTCAGACCAAGGCGCAGCGTGAAATGCATACATGTTTATTATAAAGAATAAACACACGAACAAAACAACATAACGTGACGTCCTCAGGCTAAACACAAATACAAGCCTCTACACGGAACAAGATCCCACAACTAATGCATGCCAACAGGCTGCCTAAGTATGATCCCCAATCAGAGACAACGAGTGACAGCTGTCTCTGATTGGGAATCACACCCGGCCAAACATAGATCTACAACACCTAGACTGAAACATAGAAAACACAACATAGAACACCACACCCTGACTCAACATATAAGAGTCCCCTGAGTCAGGGCGTGACAGACTACAATATTGTATCTTGATACGTTAATAAATACATGCTGTGTTAATTTTGGCATGTTTACCTGCCTACGTACCCTAAAAAGCAAGCCCATAATAAGTCAGTAAGGATAAATGGCTAGCTACTAGTACTGTTAGCTAGCCAGATAGCCACGAAGAATTGTTAGCTACCTACCCAAGAAGAATTTACATCTATCTTGCATAATATTCGTTTTAGGTCATTTTTGCCTGTTAAACTATCTGGTTAGCTACATTGTTATAATTCACATATAGCTAACTGATGGAGGCCGGTTCAGTGAATGGGTACTGTAACGTTAAGTCCATAGTAAGTCAATAGGGCTAACTGGCTATTCAGCTAGCCACAAAGAATAGGTAGCTACCCACAAAACATGTACATCTACCTTGCATAACATTAGTTTTAGGTCATTTCTGCCTGTTTAACTAGCTGGCTAGCTAGATTATTACGATTTACATATCTAGCTGATAATTATGAAGTAAAACATTTGCTTTGTGTATATCTTGTTTCATCTATTGTTGCCATTGTCCTGGCTGGAAGAAGGTTCAGTGAATGGGGGGGGTGATGCGTGAGGTAATACAGTAGGGGGAGTGCGAGTGCTCCCCCTACTGGTCAGAGAATGCACTCGGAGCATGACAGTGTGCAGCACAGTAGTATGAATATTGAGAAACACCCTGTATGTCTTTGTGATGTTAGGAATACAAGACAACACTACTTAGTTTACAGTAATAACCGTTCAAATGGTTCTAAGGGTTGAAACGGAATACAGTCAACCCAAAGTCACTTTTCCAAACAACTGGACTTCAGTCCCAGGAGGTTGGTGGCACCTTAATTGGGGAGGACGGGCTCATGGTAATGGCTGGAGTGGAATAAATTGAATGGTATCAACAACATCAAACACGTGGTTTCCAGGTGTTTGATGCCATTCCATTCGCTCCGTTCCAGCCATTATTATGAGCCGTTCTCCCCTCAGCAGCCTCAACTGATTTCATTGATACCATAACATAACAGTCCTACAAACATGTCTATCACTGTCAGAGTAAAACAACGTTGCTGTTCAGAAGTAACGATACAGTAACCTATAAACGTATAACTTGACAGCTGTGTGTGCCTCCTACCTTCACAAGTCAACACTGTCTCAATCTTCCTACAGGGTGAAAAGACAGCTAGCTATTCACTGTTAGAACAATGTTGCTGTTCTTTAGCCTTTGGCAACACTACATATTAAACTGTGACGCCTACCTTCACAAGCCAAAACCAAAGAGATTGATATCTGGTGCTGAGAGAGAGAGAGAGAGAGAGAGAGAGAGCGAGAGAGAGAGAGAGAGAGAGAGAGAGAGAGAGGGAGAGAGAGAGAGAGAAGGAGGAGAGAGAGAGAGAGAGAGAGAGAAGAGAGAGAGAGAGAGATAAAGGGAGAGAGATAAAGGGAGAGAGAGAGAGAGACATAAAGGGAGAGAGCGAGATAGAGGATAGGACAGCATGGTTTAGGCTTGTTTTATTAACCGGATGGATTCTGCTAGCGACACTCCTCTACTTGGAAGGTGTTGAAATGAGAGAGCGAGAGAGAGAGAGAGAGAGAGAGAGGGTGGGGAGAGAGAGAGAGAGAGAGAAAGAGAGAGAGAGTGAGAGTGAGAGTGAGAGTGAGAGTGAGAGTGAGAGAGAGAGAGAGAGAGAGAGAGAGAGAGAGGAGAGAGAGAGAGAGAGAGAGAGAGAGAGAGAGAGAGAACGAGAGAAAGACACTACTTCACTGACCTGCATGGGAAAAACCTTCTGAAACACATACACGCATGTACACACGTGTACACGCACACACACCCTCCACCCTTATCCTGCCAGATTCAGCCAACTCCGAACCACTCAGAGACACAGGATCTCCTCTCACCTGATCTTCCCAAACAATACATCTATAAATAATGACAATGATGTCAAGTTACAACACGTCCTCTAGTTTTTGTTTTATGCCCATGTTGTCAGTGACAGATTAGGAACAACACACCTGATATTATTTCTCTCTAGCACAAATGGGCAGCGTTCAGCGTTCCTTAGAGTACTTGGTCACAGCCAGGTTACCCAATAATATATATGCCATTTAGCAGACGTTTTCATACAAAGCGACTTACAGTCATGCAGGCATACATTTTAGGTATGGGTGGTCCTGGGAATAGTCCCTTAAAATACATAGATGACAATTATGTATGTTTTCTCAGTCTTGTTGTTCTTTTGCCTGTCAGGGACGGATTGAAACAACAACCCTGATATTCCTATCACATGAACACCAATGGGCAGTGTTCCACTGTGTAACCTGGTCAGTCGCCACGCCCCTATAGTCTACTCTCAGTGTTTCATAGTGTAACCTGGTCAGTGGTCACACCCTATAATCTCTCCATTGTATTACCAAGGAACCAGGAAACGACCAACAAGCAGAGACAGAGGAGTCTCACATTGCAATGCCCTAACTAAACCAATGGAGTCGTTAGAGGAGTCTAATTTCGGAACGGACACCTTCCTCCTTCTTCCTCCTCCTTCAGTCTTGGCTGTAAGATGACCAGACCAGCATTGTGTTTAGTAAAAAACTATGCCCCAGGAAAGAGGAGAGCCTGACAAAAGATAAGCTGCACGTCCCTTGTTGACCAAACCTGAGGAATTGTTGAAGGTGAGGTAAAACGGAGGTACCCAAACATGGGAAAGAATTAGGAAATAGCCACCTTTTTATATCAGAATCCTCAGTCAGATTGTACAACTCCCACACACACAACCCGCCTCTCCCCCCTCCACACACACAAACCACACACACACACACACACACACACAGAGAGAGAGAGCCTATTGTGAACAACACATATGCTACATGCTGCAGCTATCTTCTCTAATGAGTTTCTTAATAAACAAACAAGACAGTACCTGGTTAAATAACAAGTAGATCTCTGTCTTGCTCTCGCCTACGGTGGAACACACACACATACACAAATATCTGGAACTCCCTCTCATCTGTGGGGCGAAAACACACAAGTGGGAAAACACACCGCGGAAAAACAGAGACTAATACATGATTCATCAGAGGGGGGTGGGGGGCTACCTACTTTTCCTGGCTAGGGCGAGTTACATGCATACAAACACACGATAACATACACACTAAACACACATGTACACATGGATATTGTGTTGTAGATATGTGGTAGTAGAGTAGGGGCCTGAGGCCACACACTTAATGTGTTGTGAAATCTTTTGTGAATGTATTGTAATGTTTTTTAAATTGTTTAAGTGCCTTAATGTTGCTGGACCCCAGGAAGAGTAGCTGCTGCATTGGCTGGAACTAATGGGGATCCTTAATAAATACAAACACAAATACACATACAAATACAAAGGAAAGCCCCCTCTGGTTCTCAGCCCTCCACAATCTGTAAACACTGGGCTGCGTCCCAAATGACACTATCACTTTTGACTAGGGCCCATAGTGCACTATAAGAAATAGGGTGCATTTGGGAACCAGCCTGGAGCTTTTTCCACAGATGTCACGATAATCCTGATGAAAATTATGTTTCCCCTCTTCCCCCTCCCCTCACATTCCCTCATTCTCTCTCCCCTTCATCTGTCCATCCAGTGATAACTACAGTAGCACCGAGACAGACGGCTGGTTGGTCCAGTCATAACTACAGTAGCACTGAGACAGACGGCTGGTTGGTCCAGTCATAACTACAGTAGCACTGAG